AACCCACCCACACACTCACCTACATTACACAACGATAACCTTTCCAACAACTGAACAGGCCACATGCAAAATATCACTGAATGAGACGCAAAACGACAACAAAGAGACACAGCCGCATCCTTTGTAGCTGTTCTGTGTCTCTATCCGTCTGGGCGTCTTGCTCCTGATCAGTAAGGGGGTGGGGGCCTTTTACATGCCTGCGCCCAGGGGCCCACTGTCTCATAATCCATCCTTCTTGACAAGGAGTTAACGAGTACTGAGTAAAAGTATTCAGCAGTAAATATGAGTATGAAAGAGCATATTCTCATGTAGACGGATATGTTGGCAAAGTGTAACTGTATGCGCAAACAAGTGCAAGTCTGAACATTTGACAAGGTCTGTTTGAAAAACTGTGCTTTATGTGGGCTTTGGTTGCCTAGAGATTAGACTTGTAAGAAAGGTAGAAATGGAATCCATAGTGATTACAGTCTTTGTTGCATTGCCAGTGTTATGTGATTGTACTGAGGGGGTGAAAACAGCATTCTTCTTCTTTCTTTTTTTTTTAGCTTTGATTGTATTATTCTGTTTTGTGTCAGGTTAACTTCTGCTATGACAAGCGAATTACCCTGTGGCCTGACTCACATCTAACAACTGCCAGTATGTATAATTAAATAAGGAAAATGCCACTGTGATAACGGATTATTTCTATGTGAAATGAATTTCATAAAAAGCATAAAGGAGGAAAAATATAATCTTTTTCAAAAACCACAACTAAGTACACTTTAGTATTTGTAGCGGGGTGCATCTATCCCTTACGTATCCAGATACATGGGTTACGATATGATTCAGGGACATTGTATTTTAATATGGAACAATTCAGTGAGATTTGATTCGATGCAGTCTGATATAGTTCTTAACATTTCTTTAATGTAGACATTTATTTTCCATATTTCCAAGCCAATACTATAAAAGTGACATTACCTTCAAGTACATATATTTTCTCAAATACCAGGGAGCCAAGCTTCCAATTTATAACTTTAGAATCGGACCATCTACTGGTTCATGGCACATTTACATCCATCCTGGGGTCCAAGTACCGATGTAGTTGCATCTTAACGTTAAAACCAGTTTCGGTAAAGCTTTATAATAAATTACTGCACCACAGCCGTGAACAGGAGTAGTAAATATGTCTGTGTGAGATGAGAGATCGTGAGGAGCTACTAAAACACACTCAGCCTCCTTTAGCAGATTATGCTTGTGGCGTCCAGCTACACCTGCCCACAATGTAACAGCTCACAGTAATGTAATAGAAGTAAATGTAATAACACCAGTCAATAAGGAAATCAAATCCAGGAGAGGTCATACGATATTGTTTCTACCAGTAATGCAATAATGTGTCCATGTAATGCAACATCGACTAGATACTCTACTGTATTTTGCAACTTTTTGTAATACAAATGAGGCGTCGAGTCAATATTCAGCCATGTTTTAAGTAATTTGGTCACACTCACCAAATCAAAAAGTGGCCACCAGTGGCACCAAAAGATCCCCTATTTGCATTTAGACTTCATTAAAGCAGGAAGGGTAACGAGGCTGGGCCTTTTCCTTTCTGCTTTAACAACTGTGCTTCTCTCACCGCTGAACAAAAATAATTCAGGCCATCTATCAGGACTGCTGACACATCCTGCATGACTCTTAACATCTAATGCAAGTATGAAAGATGTTAAAAGTAGGGGATGTGACATGTATGCTTGTTTGAACCTGCCTAAAATGTGAGAGGCGGAGGGTAGGGATGTTTATCAGTGAGGTGCAGTTTTTGGTTGAATTTTGAAATATTATGGAAGTGACAAATGAAAACTGCTAAGTTATAATGTACTGAATCAAAAGGAACTCAAGTGATTCAACTCTGGCATTTGGTTATGAAACACAAAACATTTTAAACATTTCAGATGTTTCCTCTTTTACTTTAAGTATGGCAGCAGTTTGTGGTGTTTATATGCTGTTAAAGATCCCCTCCAGTCATGTATTAAAAGGTCCAGTGTGTAACAGGATCTATTGGCAAAGGATGTTTTCATTAATCTGTACCTGAAAATAAGAATCTTTGTGTTTTTGTTAGCTTAGAATGAGGCATTCTTTATCTACAGAGGGAGTGGGTCCTCTTCAGGCGGAGTCTGCAATGTTGAAACACCAGTAGCCCAGAATGGACAAACCAAACACTGGCTCTAGATAGGGGCATTAGCATTTTTGAAAGGAGAGGGTGAAGCGAGGAAGTTGCCATCTGCAACTACATCACTGGATGCCACTAAATCTTACACAATGGACCTTTAAGACATATACAAATATCTGCTTGGAACAATAATGTGTGTCTCATATGTTTTTTCCACAAAAAAATCATTTTCAGTGAGCACAGAGAATCTTTCCACTTTCAGCAGATGAATGTGAAAACATCCTTCTAGAGTCAAACTCTGCACAGACAGCATTCAAACAGCACACTGTAGGGACAGAAGAGTTGTTTTTTTTTTACTGGAGGGAGACTTAAAGATGTTGTTTTTACTGTGATAACTTAAGCCAGCACAAGCAGAGTCTGTTAGGGGCTTTGGGGCGATGAAGCAATTGACTGAGATGACAAAAAAGTAACACAAGTTTGAAGAAGAGAACAAAATTAAATGAGGAGTACACACAGATAGATCAAAAACTGCTGGGTGAGGAGAGGAAATATATGAACAGGATGTAAAGTGCATGGGGATTTTCCCTCCGCTCTGCACATGGCTCCTGAGAATCACTGGAGCCTTTCACACCCTTAATCATCTCTAGCTCTTCTCTTGCAAAAACTGTTTAATAAATGACAGAAATTAGGAGATTTGCCCTCCTTCTTGGACACAGTATGAAAAAAAACACAGTGAGGCAGTGCACTGTCTGCTGTTTTGGAGGCATTTTTTTTTGTAGGGTCCTTTACTATCATCCAATACAATTTTATTACTTAGTAGATTCATCTTGTCTCATTTTCCTTACATCCCCTGCTCCAGTCAATACTAAGTGATCATAATGTGTTTAGGTCATTGTTAAGGAGGAAATTGTGCAAGCTCCAAGCAAATCTCATCATGATAATCCAAAAGAAATGGCTGAAAAAAAAAGCTCTTTTACATTTGGGTTGACTCAATAATGGCAAACTTCCTGTCAGCGATGTCAGCAACTTCACTATCACAGTACTACAGCAATGTCACATTAGTGCATAAATGCATTTTTTTTCCATATAATGCATTGTGAGATAAAGCACACAGAGCTGCAGCGGCTGCTTTACACAGATAACCAAAAAAACGACTGCAACATTTATTTTCTGCTGAATGTGCCCCTGCTTTTTCTTCTCCCCCCAACTTCTTCATCCTCACCTCCCACTCCCGCTATAATCTGAGTCAGTCAGGCTCATGTCTGACACGTCATGATCGCAGTGAGCTGATTTAAGTGAAGACGACATGCCAGGAGGTTACAGGCCGCAAACCAAATCTGCGTCTGATATGTCGCAGCTTTTGCAAATTGGACTGTGGAGAGGACGGAACTGCGGGCTGTCCTTCCCGTAACCCTGGTGAATTAGGCAAACCTTTCACTTCGGATCGCCATCATCATCATCACTGTCATCACGGCACCTCTGCTGTCAATGCTAAGGTATTAATAACTATCATAATGGTGACACGGCTGGGATCAACACAGTACATTGTTGGATTATATTACATGTAATCATTTTCTAACTCACTATCACCACTGTTTCAGTTCTAAAACTGACAGATAAGCGCTGATGTAACTGATGCAATGGAAGGTTGATTCACACCGTCTCTGAGACAAAATGTAGTTTATTAAGTTGTGAAATGAAACATTCACAAAAACACATTTCCCATAAGCAACGTATGAAAACAAAATAAAAACTCTAATGGAAACTGCAGTTTGAAACTTAAACTCTGTTGTCTTGCCTCTGTGACCATGTTTGTCACTGAGTGAGAAAGCAAGCACAGTGATGCCGGAACACAACTCACATCCTGTCTCTTATAATATTCTGAAAGGGCAGGAAAAGCAGAGGGCCCAGAAAAGTTACTAAAATGAATAGCTGTGGATTTGGGGATGGGCCCAAAGAGAATACATATGTACACAGCCACGGAACTAGGGGGCCTGAACATAGCATCCCCTCAGAATTGCTGCCACTAAGAACAGGGTTTCTGGAGGTTTCAGCGGGTTCAATTTAAGACCTATTTTATATCCACACTGGCAAAAAACTACTAAGGATATGAAGGAAAATTGTTTTTGGTTCCATGTTAGTTTGTTTTGTAGTTTTTGTGACTGAAGAATGCAAATTTAACGTAAGTAACGTTAACAATCTATTTTTAAGACCTGTTAAAATCCTATAGAAGACATTTTAAAGGTGCAGTAGGTAAATTTCATAAAAAAATATTTTGTCCTGACAGCAGTACATGAGACAAATAATCTGTTCCTGGCTTGTTCTGAAAGATATAAACATACTTGAATGGAATGAGACTCAACAATCAACTATCTTTCGTGGCTCTGATTGGCTGTTTTCATTCAGGCCCGGTGGATTCTTGCAAATATTAGGAAAGCTACAAGGAGTCAGAGGAACCAGATTCTTTCATAGATTATCTGTCTCATGTACTACTGTCAGGATATAGTGAACATTTCAGCAACTGTAACTACAATCAGTTTTATAAAAATGACCTACTGCAGCTTTAAGGTCTAAAATTCAGATTATTGGATTTTAGACTTTGTAAGACTCTGTAGACACCCTGAAGAATACTTTTACTGCTTAAATCAACAACAAAACTGCTGTCAGACTGTCTTTTTAACTCTTGCCCATAGTTCCTGGGAAGCGTCACAGCATCTGCATCGCTTTGAACGTGGTTTTCCAGTGAAAGGTCAAGGCAGGTCAAGACAATTACCCTCTGTACTCCATGAGCACAGTCATTGTCACCTCACACGCCTCCATAAAATAAAAAACAAAACAACTAAAGGTTTCTTACCTGTCCTGTGACTGCTCCTCATACATTCTCTCCTTTCCCTCTTTGAAGAGCCGGATGGCCCGTTTGGATTTCTTCATAAGGCTATCGATGTAGATTTTAAAGTACTCGTTCTCACTGAGCTGTGTGAGTCTCTGGTTCTCCTCATATTTGCCCAGTATAAGCCGCAGGTGCTGGTAGGCATCGGGTAAGATATCCAGAATATATGGTGGACTGTTTTTCAGCTGGAGTCTGGGATTTTGGCAGAGGCGAACCTGTGGCAAAGACAGTGGTGCCAGAATGAGTTTCGAAGTTGGGGATGGGGGTAGGTGGGGGGCATTCAGCTTTGGATGATGTAACACGCTACAACTTAAATATGGTGAGAAATCAGTGGGTGTCAGTTTAGCCAGGAAAGTCATCCATCCTCTGGAGGCCCTCGGACTAGTTTGTGCTTGTGGCTTTCCTAGAGGTCACACTAGCTCTCTGGTCTCACTGCAATGAAATGGCTACTATGGGGACTGACATCATCACAGATAAATATAATCAGACTCATTTGATCCACAAGAGTTTCAGTTGTCTAGCCATACCCAATTAATGCAGTTCCCATACCGTTTATGGACCCCAGTATGCAGACATTTTTAAATACAGCACGCAAGAAAAACACATAAAACTGCATGGGATTAGCATAAAGCGGTCTGTAAAGTGTAAAGGGGAGACTCTTCAGTCAGAGGTGATTCCTTGAATGATCCCTTTCAAAACAGCCATGCCAGTTTTCCCATCAGCAAAATTTTACCTAACTTTGGAGCGTAATTTAGCCCCCTACATGCTAGCATGACATGGTTGACAGTGGATGCCTTAAGTCTTCAGCACAGAGTTGAAAAGGTCACCATAACACCTTGTCGTCCCTCTATTCAGTCGCGTTTACCTGGCGGGCGGCTGTGGCTCGGAGGTAAAGCGGGTTGTGCAGTAATCGGAAGGTTGTTGGTTCGATCCCCAGCTCCTCTTGCTGCACATAGAAGTATCCCTGAGCAAGATACTGAACCCCAAATTGCTCCCTGTGCACTGGTGTGTGAATGTGAATGAGATGTGCAAAATATGACCAGGAAACAATTGTGCATCCCATTAGCATTAGCTCCACCTCTCCATGCGCGTCTAGAGTAACGACCTCCTACAACCATCTGGCAGACAGGCCTGACGGGTTTAGCACTTACAACTTTATCCATCAGTTTCCAGGTTTTCTCCACAGTCCGCCGGTCAGCCACCGCCTGTTTCGGTGGCCCTACAGCATCGTGGATGGCATCGATGAAGCCTAAAATCCGACCCTTATTTCGGTTTGGTCCACGTCCGCCAGGGTTTCGGCCACTCAGAGCGGTCGCCATTTCCTATACACTAAGGCCAAAAAAGAATGAGTGCAGTCAGTGATTTTCTGTCAGTTACATGGTAAATAATACATGCATCATATGTTTAGAGCAGTGGCTCTCAACATGGGGTTCAGGATTCCCAGGAGTCCTGGAGGGGATGCCCAGAAAAACAGGGAATATTTGAATTTCACTATTATTTCTTTGAGCAGAGGTTATCCCAATGAGAGAATGTAAAAGAATGACTCTTGTATTCATAGGTCACTGTTTCACTGTTTATGTGCCAATCTACATATAGTCAGTTATGGAATCGGGGTAATCTAGAAAAATATTCATTTAATCATAGGCGATCACATATATCAATATAAAAGCCACCAAACAAAGATATTTGAACGTAAAAACATTACGTTACTGTGCCACATTACATGTCTTTTTTATTCAACTTAAGCCATCTACAATATGGCCACAACAGATCAATACATTATATTTGTTCATTTTCCGTCCGTGTTTTCAGACAGAACAGAACTCTCACATTGAGAAAAACAGAGCTGGATCTTTTTGGTTCGTTAACAAAACTAGGCCTACGATCTCATCACTGTTTCTCCCTTCAGTACTGTTCAACAGAAACCTGAAAGGTCTCCTTTGACTGATGCTGAACAGGCTTGTTTGTGAAGGGGGCTCAAGGACCATGAGGTCTCTGAAGCTGTCCAGAGGGCCCCCAGTGGAATACTTCAGTGTTATTATATTTACAAGAGCTTATGAGAGATGAGAGATGTGGCAGTATTCCCATTAGAAGTGTCATCCTCCTTCATCTACACAGTTAAAATGCTTTAACACAGGTTTGGCTTCATTGTTGTGTTCACAGGTCTTCTTGGTCCTGAACATGGCAGTTTAACCACTGCCTTTACGCACGCTAATGGCCACTGATGATCCTGTCATTTACTCATGAATAATTCATGACTTAACTGCAAAACTGTAGCCAGATTGCACAAATCCAACTGCTTATACTCAATGTGTTTATCAGTTGGGTGTTTTTATTGATTGTTAGTTTACAATGCTTATACCGTGTGGAACTCTGCTGTTGTTCAGAGTTTTGCTCTTATTAAAGAACCATCCTAGAAGCATACATTTTGTTTCCTGTGGGTTGATTTCATAAGAGACTCTGCCTGAGCAGCAACTCGCACAAGCCTGTGAAGCCCAGAACAACAGATCCCCGTACAGCCTCTGTTTTCAACACACACGGATCGATCAAAAAACAACAACACAAAGTCCTAACTTACCAACCCGCCTGGGAATGTCTGCTGGGATCCCCGCTGAACTCGGTCCACATCCAGCGCACAGAAATCAAGGAGTGTCCAAGTGTCCGGAGGAAGAGAGTGGCACAAAGTGTCCAGCGCGTTGAATCCCGTCCCCTCACTGCAGAGCGTCCATATTCCACAGCCGCCCGATAAAAGCTGTCCCCAGCTGCTGGCGGAGGAGTTAGACAAACGGAGCAGGGAGGTCTGTACACTATGTTTTGTACGGCGACATCAGTGGAAAGTTAGCTGTTATATAAAACGCCACATCCGGTTGCGCATTTCAAAATAAAGCCTCCGCTGATAAACATTTATACATTACATTAAATTAGCATTTTTCAAGTATAACCTCTGCTTTTATTGAACTTCGTCGTGTTCATTAAGTGTTCAGGTTAATTGTGCTGTTCTAATCTCCCCAGCATTTCTCTGTTCCACCTAATAGTGGTGCGTTTCTTTCCTTTAAGGCTGCATCAGGGCACTTTTAGAAAGATAGCTTTTTGTCATTATTGCTGAAACTTTCACTATGTCCTGACAGTTTTACATGAGACAGATAATCAGTGAAAAGATCAGGTTCCCCTGGCTCATTCTTAATGGTATTTGCTAGAATCAGGCCTAAACGAAAGCAACCAATCAGAGCCAAGGAAAATAGAAAAACGCTTTTGGTTTAAAGCTTGAAGATAGCTGGTTGTTCTCATTCCCAGAGGTCCAAAGCGTCTGTATTTGACCCCCTGGGAATGTCTTTCTTACCTCTGATTGGCTATTTTCGCCCATATATTAATATCTCTATATAATATATTTTATAAAAATGACCTACTGCAGCTTTAATTTGAAGGACACCCGGTTACTTCCTGTTGTGTCTGTCTGTGCGCTGTCTGGCTTGATGCAGCTGTTCCAGCGGTAGGAGGGTCAATGGGAGTATGAAGCAATATTTTCCAGGAACCGACCAACGCAATGACAGCAACGACCAGCCCGGTACCCATTGGTGCTCTGTGAGGCTGTCACTGACATCAAGCTGGACAGACTGAGGAAGAGGAGCGACCTCCGGTCCCAACTCTCAACATAATAGTCTTTTTGATGGCCCCCAGGGGACAAAGGGAGGAGGGGAACTTTTTAATTATTCTAAAATACATAATGTTTTATGTATTTTTGTTGTTTTCTGACCTTAAGACATTACATGCATACATGAAACCCATGAATATAATAATAATATATTATAATATAATTAAGCAATGTCTTTTGCACTTTGATCTAATTCCTATTTGAAACCTTCACGAAAACACTGAAAAAATAGGATTTAGCATATAACCACTCTTACACTACACTTCACCATCATGGAATATAATTATTAAAATCCTTCACTTATCTTATTTTTTGTATTATTGCCCCTTTTTCCAACTTAGACATAAAATACATGTTCTACTCGGAAATTAATAACATGTTTGTTAAAATACACATTCCACTCAGTCCTGTTACCCTGACATCCCCCCTCTAAAAAGTTGGGGTATTTTATAAGTAACTTGATCAACAAGAAGTAGCATCATTTGAGTCTTCTGAAGACCATGGGCAGACCAAAAGTAACTTCTCTCACTGCATTGTCTATCTGCCTATCTTTGGACATATTGTCATGTCAACATATTGTCCATATTGGATATATTGTCCTGTACTTCTTCAATGTCATCATCTTTTTATATATTTTTTAAGATAGTTTTGGTAGATTTAGCATTAATACCATGTGGCTACATTTCATGGAATTTTCTACAAAGATGCTAAAACCTCAGTCCTGTTACCAAAAATGCAAATCTTCTATTTATAGACCTTGTAAAAATAAATAAAATGGCCTGGGATTGTCAGTTACATATTCCAATTGGTTAAACGTTTGTTATTAAATGAAATTTAATTCTGAAAAGTTACAACATGCAAATTGTCACATATTTCGACCTCTGGACACATTCTGTAGACGCCAGTGGCCCAGGGATAAGCACAATCTTTTTTACACAATTTCAAATGGTACATTATTTTTAAACCATCTACACATTGCACATATATGCACATTTACTATTTACATACCAAATGTGTCATTAAACCTGCAGTAGGTAATAATAAATAATAATATTTCTATTTTTTTATATTTGCTGAAACTTTCACTATATCGGACACCTGTGTTTACCTTATTCATGTCGAAATTGCTGCCTGGCTACAGACATGTGGTCTGTGCTAACAATAGGAAGAGTACTTTGAAAGTTATTTGTTGGTATGGTAATCTGGACATTAAAACTGCAGTTGTGATATTTGCTAAAAGTTTCACTATATCCTGACAGTAGTGCATGAGGCAGGTAATCAGGTTCCTCTGGCTTGTTCTAGTGCTGAGAAAGATTGTTGAGTCTTATTCAACAATCAACTTCAAGCTTCCAACCCAAATTGTCTTTCTGTCTTTCTTGGCTCTGATTGGTTGTTTTCATCCAGGCCCGGTCGATTCTTACAAATGTCAGTAGGAGGAGGAACCAGATTATTATTTCTTTTTACAGATGATCTTTTCTTATGTATTGTCAAAATAACCCCTTTTTTTTCAAAAGTTACCTACTGCAGCTTTGAAAACACTACTAATACATCTGTATTTGGGGGGTTTTACATACCACATACAAATATGTGGCCTCGCATTTTTGTATACATTTTATTTACAGGACTTGCATTGATGTTGATGATGAACCCCACTTCCAACTGCACGGTGTGTTTGTTTCCCATCACATCCTAAAATGCAGACAGTTTGTACTTTTATTTTGGAGGTAAACTGGCCTTACTTCCTGTGTAGTTGTTGCTTCGTGCGGTTTCTTGACACGGCCGCACAGGAGAGGGACAGGAGAAGGGCCGCTCCCAACGAAAAAACGTTTCTCATCTCACTGTGAACAATCGGGCAGTGTTGTACCGGAAAGAGCCGTGTGGGTGTCAGAAAAATGTACAGTAGACAGGAAACAATTATTTCTACAGTTATTAAACAGTAATTACAACAAAAGACTAAACCAGTCATAAAGTTTAGAAAAATACATACATATACTATCAAAATTATAAAATGACTACAATAACTATAATTGCCATAATAATTATGTAAAACTGTTGAGCTTCACAGACACATTTTAGACCCTATATCAGTCATTTTACAGCCATTTTATAATAATACACACACACAAAATAAAGAAATTAGAGTTTCTTAAGTACTTTTCCTTTCTCAGCACAGGAACTGATGAAAGTTCAAAATGATGAAACATGAATGTAAGTGGATCATCTTCTTATTCTCCTCTTGGCATTACTTTCTTCTCTTATTATCATTTTTCATTTAAGAACAGATTTATCACCCGTCACTCTTAAAAAACAAAGAAAATGTACATACAGTAGTACATAGTGTGTATACTTATAACCAGGATAAATAAGGCCAGTGGTCCCGACGACGTCAACCTGAGGGTCCTGAAGGTGTGCGCAGAGCAACTGGCAGGTGTGTTCAAGCATCTTTTTGACCTCTCCCTGAGGTCGAATAAGGTGCTGAAGATCTTGAAGACTTCCTGCATTGTTCCTGTTCCCCAAAAAAGGAAGACCCAGCACTCTCAATGACTTCAGGCCTGTAGCCTTAACGTCACATGTTATGAAGACCTTTAAGGGACTAGTTCTGCAGCACCTCAGACCCTTGGTATGTGACTGCCTGGACCCTCTGCAGTTTGCGTACCAGGCAGACAGTTGCTTTACGGGAGAGAGGGGAGAAATGGTGGACACCTACAAGTTCCTGGGGGTGACACTCAACAACAAACTGGACTGGACGGATCACACTGAGGCCCTCTACAGGAAAGGACAGATCAGGCTGTTCTTTCTGAGGAGGCTCAGGTCATTCAACGTGTGCACTCAGCTACTACAGATGTTCTACCAGTCTGTGGTGGCCAGTGTCCTCTTCTTTGCGGTGGTCTGTTGGGGGGGAGGCATCTGCACTGGGTGTGCCAACAAGCTGAGCAAGCTGGTGAGGAAGGCCAGCTCGGTGGTGGGGATGGAGCTGGACAGTGTGGAGGCTGTGACTGAAAAGAGGATGAGAGGGAAGCTGAAAGCCATCATGGACAACCCCTCTCATCCTCTCTACACTGAGCTCAGGCAGCTCAGGAGCACTTTCAGCTACAGACTGACCCAGCCCCGAGCCTCAAAGCGGTTTGGAGGCTCGTTTGTACCATCAGCCATCAGACTCCACAACGCCACAGCACCCAGTACCTCCAACCCCCGCAGACAAAGACTGGTTTTAATTCAACCTAACCTATATTATTTATCTTAAATTGCACATGTACAGTTTAGTTTCCTTTTAGTCAAGCTGCTTAAAATATTTTGCATTGCATTTATATTTTCTATAATATTTTGTAATATTCTTATTGTGATACTATTGTATGTACACTGTACTCTTTTTATTGTACTATATTCCCCAATGCTGCTGTGTGTAACTTGAATTTCTCCTACGAGGGAATTAATACAGGTATATCTTACCTTATCTTATCTTATCTCAGCACACTGCAGTGTCAGTCGGTCAATCAGTGATGTTCCAAAGCTTCGAGACTCTGCTGTGAGTTTGTACTGGAGCCTGAAGAACCGTTTTCAAAGAAACTGCTGAATGATGACCGCGAAGAAAACTTTAAAAAATAATTTTTAACTATTTTGTTGTAAGCTTTTTGTCACATAATAGTAGGGTAAACACAGATGTTACCAGTGATACTAATTAAGGTATTGCTATTGCGCATGTTGGCTCACTGGAAAGGCTCTGCTACATTAAATGGAATGGAACCTTAAAGGTCCAGTGTGTAACATTTAGGAGGATCTATTGGCAGAAACTGAATACAATATTCATAGGTATGTTTTCATTAGTGTATAATCACCTGAAATGAAGAATCGTTGTTGTGTTGTTGTGTTTGTGTTGTCTGAAAATAAACAGTTTTTTGTGCGTTTACAGCCACCATCGTTTTTTCCTACATACAGTAAATATAATTCAAATATAATAATAAAATTAATGATCTCTTTGTTTTTACTTGTTTTTGGCAGTAAAAGTTAAATATCCACATTGACCAAAAAGTAAACATCCATATTGACCAACCACCCCCCTGTATCTACATGAAATGGTTTGGTCCTACCTTAGCACACTTATCAGTGAGGGTGTTTATTGCAGTCAGTAGATGGCCAGAACTACAGTGATCACAATGTTAACTAGTAAATCAAAATCTGGTTTTCAAAAAAGGAAAGAGAGAAAAGAGAGAGAGGAAAGACAAAGGAAAGGATGTCAATCTGTAACCCAGTGTTTCACCAAGAAAGGTGGTACCCTATAGTCTGTGAGTGGTATTAACCTGTTGGCTTAATGTCCATAGTGAAATAAGATACAGCTACAGACTAGTGTTAGTCTACATTTAATCACCATTTAATCAGTTCAGGGAAACGTTTAGCAACATATTCATATTAAATCATTGTCCCTGCCCCTTTTAGCAGACTTAACAACAGATGAGTCAGCAGCACCCCAGTCTCCCCATCACTGTACCCCTCCCCGTCCCAGTGAAGAAGCTGAGCAACATTGTGTTCAATGACAGGCCAGTTAGCATCATTGCAGGGAGTCTGTGGGGATTTCTCTGTCTCTCTTGCTCTTTTTACCATTACAAAAAGAAAATGAAATATTTATTAATGACAGAAATTCAAACACATTAATAACAATTATTTTCTCACATAATGATCATTATGAAATAAAATATAAAAAAACAACAACCTACTGTCTGTACTGGATGCTGGACAATAATAATAATAATAATAATTAATAATACATTTCGTTAAGAGAATTTTCCATTTTGAAATTTTACAATAAAAATACATTGAGACTGTAAAAGATGGCCTTTAGCACATTTTTTATGGTTGCTTTTAATCTTGCATCAAATAGTGAACTGCATACTGTATGCAGACTGCATGCATGTACAAATCACCAGCAGTAAATATTGTGCTAGTACTAGTATTGAACTACAAGAAGCAAGACAGTTGCAAGCCTTTAATTAGAGTTATGTAAAGCTTTTGATGGGACAGTTAGGTCCTAGAGATGTGGTGACAACAGCTGCGCAGAGGGGGCCCAATTTGATTTTTTTGTCATGGGGCCCAAAATTCCTGGCGGCGCCCCTGGTCATTAATAACACCTGTGTTTACCTTATTTCATGTCACAATTGCTGCCTGGCTCCACGTGTCTGTGCTAACAATAGGAAGAATACTTTGAAAGTTATTTGTTGGTATGGTAATCTTGACATTAAAACTACAGTTGTCATATTGTTGTGTCAGTGTGTTAATTTTAGTTTTAGTTTAGTTAAATGTTCATGTTTAGTGTTTCATGTTTAGTCCTTCCTGTTTTATTTTGTACTCACTGTTTCCCTCACATTTCAGACCCTGACTTTCTCCCTTTGTGTGATTTTCCCTCCTTTGTAATTGTCTGCCCCGCCCCTGATTGTTTTCACTAACACCTGGAGAAATAGTCCTTGTCTCCCTTTGTCTTGATCAGTTTGTGAAAAGTATTGTCATGTGTTCCAGCCAGAGTTCCAGAGTTTTTTCATGTTTTGATTAAGGTTTGTGTGAGCTTTTGTTTTGCACTTTTTTCCTTCCTTGAGAGCGCCTTTTGTTCGACAATTAATACCCCTTTTGTACATCTTCGTCAGTCCCTGAGTCATGCATTTGAATCCACCAGAATTGTGTCTGAGGTTGTACTACATAAAACAGATTATCTGTGACAAAATCTGGTTCCTCTGGCTCCTCCTAGTGCTCCTGATGGTATTTACAAGAATCCACCGGGCCTGAACCAAAGTGACCAATTAGAGCCATAAAGATAGTTGATTCTTGAGTCTCATTCCCAAGTTGTCAACCTCCAACCCAACGTTTCTTTATATCTTTCTGGGCTCTGCAAAAAAATAAATAATAATACAGATAGAGAATTGTATAAAAAGTTCCTGACAACATCATAAAAACTCATCTCTGATGTAATATTCAAAGAGAATATCGAAATATTGTTTTATGCAAACTTCCTGCAGTTAAAACAACCAAAAAGCGAACACTGCAATGAGAAAACGTATCTATGATGCATTATTTACAGGAAATAATCAGCTCAAAATTCATCGAAATGACTGGTTTTACACAAACTTCCGGCCGTTATTGTGTTCACTTATTGGTATGTCTTTGAATTGTGGGAGCAAAAACACAGTCAAGAGGAAAACATAAAAAGCACATAGGGAGAGGGATCCCCCCTGGGATTTTCTTTCATGACAAAATAAAAACTCATTCCAGTGCAAAATTTATTAACTATATCACATTTGATGGTATGTGTTAAGAATGACATTTGCCCAGCAGAGGGCGGTGCACACCAGTAGAATATAAAATTGTTTGCAAATGTAGTTTAAAGGTTTAATTCATAGATGGTGGCTGTATTCATTGATCATTTTGATATAGAATTCAGATTAATTTAATTTAATTCTTTAAATGATGATTGAGCTGTTCACCCAAGAGCTGACAGTTAAACTGGGCTGTAAATTGATAGTTTGCAGTTAAATGAAGCAGAAATAAGTGGAAGTGGGGTTAAAGTTAATCTGAGCCCATTTATCTTAGGAAATAATGTCAGGTTAACTCTATGTAGAATCACCTAAAAGACCAAATCAAATAGTGCACTTTACTGACATGTTAGTTATATGGATATTATAAAATATATTTAAAAAATATATAACAATGTAATGAGATCGTCACACCTTCAAAACCCTAAAAGGAAGGACACTAAACCATTTACCATTTTTAACTTGACATCTAGGTCATGTTTGTCTGAATCTTTATAAACTGTGTGCAGTTACGAACATGTTTGCTGTTTCTCTGAAGTTTGCCTTTCACAGAACTCTTATTTCCAAATACAGAACCAAAAGTGTGAGATTCAGTTTTTCTAGATTTGCCTCATTTTAAGTGCATCCAAGACGGTTGTATGTTTCAGTAAAGTAAGTTTGGAGTAAGTACTTTGGAGTACTGCAGGGGGTATATGGTATTTTTCACTGTTTTAAACAACAACAATCCTCACTGAAACAGAAGCCCATGTTCACTAAGAGCAACTTATCAAAAAGACGCTGTTCAATGCAACTTCAATGCAGTCTTAGTGTTATTACCAGAACTGTTTTGCATGTGTCAGGGTACTTACTTGGCTGAAAACTATTTCAAAGGGGGTACCTTATTAAAAAAGTTGAGAACCACTGTCCTAGCACAGCTTTTTTGTGTATGTATCTATACTCCATGTACCATGTATGAGTATGGGAACCTGTTTATACGTGATTATTCAGTGCTTACGTACACCAGGAGAGCTGAGGGAAACCCTGGCCACCAAGCCACATGGACCCCACCCTTATCAGCTGAGCCCAGACTCACAGAGCAAGATGTTCCACCACCCAAACATCACCTCCCATCCAATCACACACACGCCCACTGGACGTCACATCTATCTGGGAGCCAGACCTGGTGGTAAACAGATGTCTGGTGGGAGGAGATATACAATGTTTTGAAGACAATATTGCCAGCCTGCTTCAGAGCTAAACACCAGACCATCAGCGCTCTCTCAAATGGCTTGTTAAAATGTGCCTTGTCTCCTAGGACTTCTACCTAACATGGTTTATTCTGTGATTTTATACACAACTCAAGACAGGAAGGAAGTTTCCAAGAAGGAAACCGAGGTAAGAAAAAAGAGTAAAGAAGATAAATACTATGAATTTACAATGGTTCAATTTCTGCAATATTTTTTTAAAAAGACCTGTTCTCACATTAAATTGGGTAAATATGTGTGTTGTTGTTTTTTTTTAAATGATTTTTAAAATTGAAAGTGTATATCATTACTACTCTCATGGAGAACATGTGTTTCAAATTTGTAATGTGGAAATACATGAATCATGAGACCATGGTGTTATATGTTAAGCATGCCTGCAGATGTTACTGTGAACTGCCACTATGATTAAAACTACTGCAAGTGCATTTCTCTGCCAGTAATGTACAGTTCTTCTAATAATACAAGTGAAAGAAAAATTGTTAGATTAGGTTTTCACATTTTGTATGCATGATTCAATGAAAACTGGCTGACTACATTTCTGCTCCCTACAAGTCAGATCCCTACAAGAGAAATAACCACCAAATTCATTTGCAGTAGAAACCTACCTGGAGAAGTTCAGTGAGCAGGTCATTGCTGGGTTGAGGACACCCAGAGCCAGAGGCCTAGATCTCACAGAGAACCATTAGCGCAGCTCTTACAGCACAGGAACAAATGAGGGTGCTGTTTCATGTTGTGGAAGAGGAGACATCACAAACCGAAGTTAGCTTCTACCACAGGAGGATCTGAGCCAAGAGCTGATTTAGGTAAGGCAACCCTGTTAAAAATTATACAGTGGTACATGTTTTAAACACCAGCATAGTCTATTGTTAGGAAATGAAAACTGTTACATACTTGGTATGACAAATTAATTTCCCTTTTTACAAATGTGTTACAACCATTGCCACCTCTCAGCCATTGTTCAGCTAGCTGTAGCAGCATGTTTGTTAATTAGTTTGTAGTTTAAAAGCAGCACATTTTATCTATGCGGACTATAGAGACTAATCTAGTACAAGTAACAGAATTCTAACTCCAACAATCTAATCAAAATATAAACTTGGTCCAAAACATAATTTTCTTACCTGAAAATCAGAATTTTGGTTGTAAAATCTGCACACAGCTATGACATTTCACACGTAAGGTTAGGTCAAAAGTGGTCAGACATTGACAACACATGGTTCTTAATAAAGGCTAATCCCTTCTTGGTGAAAGTGGTGCTGTAATAACAATCCCTTTGTTCAACAATCACCGTTCTCCTTATTTTATACAGCACTATTTAATATATATAACTATTACCAGGATACATGGTAAATAAATTCTCATTTTACAACGCAGGGTTAGATAGTGAAATTCAGGTTGTAGGTATATATGTAAGTATATATACATATGCACAAAAATAATATACAGATAAGTCATAAAAAGAATAATAGAATATGCGTTGAACTACTCAACAGTATATAAATTAGTTATCATTAAAGAGAATAAACATGCTGAAAATGTTGTGTTCAATTGTGGTTTTAATTGTGCCACCATCCTGATTCTTTTTGGGCCTGGTTTAACACAATATAAGATGCAGTGGAGCTCAGCGAGTGATATCTGTCTCCATTTCTTGACCAACAGAGCAGAGACAACAGAACTGAACTGAACAGAACAATGGAAAATATGAAGCAATTAGAAGACGAAGAAACAAAAAACATGACAACCATAAAGGAGACAATTAAAAGACAAAGACAACTAACATGTCAAGTAATGGAGGAGATTGAACAACTTTTGGAAGAGACACAAAGACAGAGAGATGAAAATTACCACTTGAAGACAAAGACAGAGCAGCAACAAGAGGACATTGACACGCAGGGATCTCAAAAACATGAGCAGCACTTATTGACAGAAGGACTGAGCCTGCAGATAGAAAATATTGTTGAGAAGCTCAAGGAGAATAAAAATGCTGCCACTCAAGAAAAAATACAACTTCAGAAGATGTGGGCTGAGATATACCAAGAGAGAGAAACTCTGGAAAGAAGACGAAAAGAGATCATCAGTGAGCGGCACAAGTTGGAAATGATTAAGTATGATAAGACAACATCACAAGAAAGTAAGGAACCTGAAGAGGCCATGGAGCGGGAGATAATAGAGAGGCTGGTGGCTGACATGAACAAAAATAAGAAAATACTCCTAGAAGCAAAGCAGGAAAAAGAACATGTGGAGAAAAACATGGCGGACATAAAGCAAGAGTTGAAGAGAAATAGAAAGGATATTTCACACTATAGAGATCAAATTGAGCACATCAAACAAAATGTGACTGTTAATATTAACAAGATGAAGCAAAGGTGGACCAAAATTCAAATGGATGTTCAAATGCAGAAAGCCACAGTCCTAGAGATGGAAAGCAAAGAAAGAGAGAAAGAAGGAAGAGACACATTTGACACTGTGAGGATGAAATTCAGCAGAATCCGAGAAGAGATACAGAAACTTTGGGATGTGCTGGAAGACAGTGAACCACAACTGGAACAGCTAAAGACAGAAAAATCTGACTCTGAAAAGCAAAGACCAGACACAGATGTAAGCATGAAGCTAACAAAGTGGGAAACAGAGATGCAGTGGCAAAAACAAGACATAGAGAACAAGTTGGCACAGGTTCAGTCTGAAAGAGATGACATAGAAAGAACCAAAACTAAAATGCAGATGGAGAGAGAGAACATTGAGAGGGACAGGCAGTCAGCTAAAGCAGAAATGGATGCAATGAAGTGTATGAGGGAGAGCATTGAAAGGCAAAAGCAGGAGCTGGATGACAGGTTACAGAGGACAAAGAGAGAGATGAGAGAGCTGAAAGTCATGAACACTGAGATTGAAATAAAGAAAAATGACCTGGTGAAAATGATAGGAATGAGCAGGAGAAAAAAGGAAGAGATCAGTAAGATGAAGGGTGAGACTGCTGAAGAAGACACAGAGGAAAGACAAGATATGACTAAGGGGCAGAGGTCAAAGCAGAAGCAGGAGGCGGAGGACAGATCTAATGAGCAGAAACGCTGCGACAGCACCAAAGAAATAACACAACCTGAAGAACATCAGTTTGAGGAGGGACAACATGGAGACTAGCAACGAGAACGAAGTGAAAACAAACTTGCAGAGTGTGATTTTCGAAGTAGAAGAAATCAGAAAGAAGCTGCGTAAGGTGAGAGAGGATGCAGATCAAAGAGGGAGAGAAGTTCCTGAAGAAAAGAGTCAAATCAAATGGATGAATTTTCGAGCAAAAAAAAAGCAATGGGAGCTCGACCAACGACTGGAGAAGACCATGAGAGAGAGGGATGAGTTAGAAATCGTGAAGATAAAGATACATGGACAAAGGGAGGAGGTTGAACAGAAACTGGAAGATGCAGCAACTACAATAGTGACTATGGGTGTGATGAAAGCTAACATAGAAAAAGCTGCTGCTGAGATTAGCAATATCCGGGAGGAGATGCTCAAAGTCCAGAGGAAGATGGAGGAAAACAAGGAAGAAGTCAAAAAGTTCATGGTAAGTAAATCTTTTGTTAACAACCTGGTATCATGCCAAAGCATTTAATACACACACTGGTCCACCGTGGCAATGACATGTTTTCAGCACGTGCTCATTCTGCAGTCAAGTTAGCAATAATAAATCTGCATCATTCAGTTACATTTTCAAACTGAAGCTTGCTGAGATCACAATGTTGTTAGTTGTTAGTTTTGGGGATTCCTCCAATAATTCAATTCAATTCAATTCAGTTCAATTCAATTTTATTTGTATAGCGCCAATTCATAACAGAAGTTAACGCAGGACACTTTTCAAATAGAGCAGGTCTAGACCGAACTCCTTATAATATTATTTACAGAGACCCAACAGTACCACCATGAGCAAGCACTTGGCGACAAGGGCAAGGAAAAACTGCCTGTTAAAAGGCAGAAACCTAGGACAGATCCTCCGGCTCTAGGTGGGTGGTCGTCTGTTTCAACCAGTTGGGGTGGCTAGTATCCAAAGAAATGGTATCAGAACATCTCTTTATACTGCACCTTTATACCATTAACATATGTAAAGATGGACGACATGACAGCTCTCCAAAAGTGAAGCTAAAACATCTTGATCGCCCTCTGGTGTCTGACTGCAGTATAGGTCATAAAGCACACTGCCTCCCTGTTAACAGACGGGACATAGACCTAACTAAAAATGATTTTTTGTCATTTTCGGTAGTTCTTCTCACCCTGATGTATGTTCAAGTGTTCATTTAATAAAACATTTTTTTTAATGCTATTTGACCCCAATCACTACTGCACAGACTCTGGTTCTGAGTGGTGAAAGACGGCAGCAGTAGTATTCAGGATATTTTGGCTTTATTTTTGTACAGTGGGAGGAAGGAAGGATGTGACATCCATTTGTTTATATGTAGATGCTTCATACACGCGTGTAATTTTCACCTCTAGGTGAGGTAAAACATGACACTGACACGGTATTCTCAGTGCTACATAACAAGTAGAGATTGGGCAGGTTAGACCTATCCCATCAGTAACATTGTTAGTTGCTTTTCCTGTTATGACATGTCAGTCAAGTTTGAAGTATTGCTGTATAGTACTAAGGCTGTTGTTAAGGTAACTTAGAGTACAGTAAGCCTAGTCTAGTGAGGAATAATGTGAGTCAATATAGCTAACTTTATCTAAGATAGTGGTGCAGGAGTTAATTTTAGTGTACAGGATGGTTTTAATCTGACATGATTTAAAGAAAAAAGCTGGAGATATTCTATATATCCATTATAGTGTTACTTTCAATAATCCCATGAAAAGACCCAAAGCAACAATTTGTTTATCTAACTCTCAATACTGGCTCCTACTGAAGACATAAGTCTTTGAAAACATCTAAAAAGAATTGTTTTTAAAGCTCAGTAATTACCAAAAACAGTGGGACAATGTAGTTTTTTTAGCAAATGTTACTCAAACAGGAGGAAACAGTTCAACTGTAATAAAGGAACATTTCACCCAGTGTGGCTCATCAACGTTTTAATAGTTTTTGGACAACAATGGAGCTCTTTGGCACAAAGGAAAAAGATAAATCAGGCTTTGATACACACAACACTTAGTTAGTAGATACATTCATTGGTTTGGTTTGATGGTATTAAAAATAGGTAATATCACAAGCCTGATCCTTTGACCTATGTAATATTAACATGAGAAACAGTAAGAAAAACATCTTTCTTTTTTGTAAAGGATAAACTGAATTCCATGAAAGCTTGGGTTAGCAAATGGATAATGACAGAACCTGCAATCAAACAGACTTTCTCAGTGAATACATCTAAGTTTCAAGAACCCCAGAAAGAAACACACAAAGACACCCTCAAAGATCCAACACCGGGAATTGTAACAGACCAAGAAGGAGCAGAAGATGAAATTACAAAAGATGCCATGTCTTTGCAACAATCTATAACATCTGAAGACCAGCATCAAAGTGACAAAATAAAAGACGAGGAGCATATGCATCCAGAACACAAACAGAAACAGGAATGCCATTTTTTTGCAGTGGACATTGAGGAAGAGCAAAATGTTTTCTTACAGGTGCAAACTGAAATACATGAAGAAATATTAATGGATGAGAATCAGACAGAGTTAGCAATACATTTAAGAGAAAAGGCCAAAGTGGAAAAGCAGATATTAAAACTTAAGGAGACAGAGGAGAAAATAAAGGAGCAAATGGAGTACGCCTTGGAGGACATGCAGGAAAGAAATGAAGAGATTAAAAGGCTCGTTATGGAAATAAATAACCTACAGAGCCAGAGACCAGAGACTGGTGGAAAGGTGGAGGAAGGAGTGACAGGACTGCTGAAAGAAACAGAACAAAAATACATTTTGAGGGTAAACACAAATGTTTTTAAACATGAAATATTTAAATATATAGTGGAAAAAGAGGAGAATGGCAGTGAGTTGAAGCAAGAGGTAACTGATGAGTCTGACTTGATGAGAATGGAATTTGAGGAGCAAAAGCAAAGCCAGGAGATTGATGAAGGTTGTTATAAAAAGGACCCAGGGAGTGATGATATACAAAGACTTAGGGCAGAGATTTATAAAACACAAGAAATCATAAGATTAGTCGTACTAGAACTTGAAAACCAAGCTGAAGAAAGTAACATCAACAAAGATCATAAGGAAGAAGATGGTGAAGTTCAACGATTGCTAGAAGACATTAAACAATTTCAAGAGCTTTTAAAAATGGTAAAAACTGCAATGATGCAAAGTGAAATGGATCTGAAAGAAGAAATGAACAACATGAAATGGATGAAAATTGGTGCGAAAAAACAGAGAAGAGAACTGAATCAGAGGTTTGAAAAAACTTTGAGAGAGAGAGACGAATTAGATATTTTAAGAATAAAACTGCAGAAACTAACCGAAATGACTGAGCAGAAGCTGGACAAAATGGCAAAAGTTAAGAAAACCATGGAGAAAATGGCTGTTAAGACTAGAATGAAAAGTGAAGACGTGGAGATTACTATAAAGCAGACCAAAGTAAAACAGAGACAGGTAGAGGACCTGAGCTGTAAGATTGAGGCGACAAAACAAGCACTGGAAAACAGCTATCTTTTCTTATCCCAGGAAAGAGCTGGCTTTGAAAAATTCAAGGCTGAAATCAGGCAACTAAAGGACAGAAAATCTGCCCTGGAAAATACTGAGAGACAGAATGGAAACATAAGGAAACATTTCAGAGATGAAACAGATACAGAAAGAGACCAAATGGGCAAAGAAATTGAGGGAATGGAAAATGAAATCTTCAGACTCAGATCAGAAAATGAGAAACTGGAGGAGAACATAAAAATGATAAAGGACAGTTTGGATCAGAAAAATGGAGAAATTGAACAACTGAAAAGGGCAATAAGTCAGCTAGTGAAACAGAAGACGGAAAGAAAAGAGATTGAGATTCAAGTAGAGAGCGAGAATGTGAGAGTAGCAAGACAACAAGCTGAGGCAGAAATACATGAGATGAACTATTTAAGGGAGAATACTGAAAGACAGAAATGGGAGCTTGATGACAAAGTGCACATGACCAAAAAAGAGTTAAGAGAAATGGAGCTGCTGAAGTTAGAGCTGGAAATAAAGAAAAAAGAAAATGAACAGATGTTCAGAAAAAGTATGAGAAAAAAGCAGGAGTGTGAAACAATGTGGAATGAAATACAAAGAGAGAAGAAAATACTGAGGAGGGATACCAAAAAGATAAGAAATGAATTAGACCAAAGACTGGAGAAAATCACGAAAGAGAGGGATGAGTTAGAAGTATTGAGGATAAAACTGCAGCGACAGAAGACAGAGCTGGCTGATGAGAAGCAAAGTATCAAAGACAGGGCTGTCCGAAGAGAACATGAAAAACAAAGTCTGGAAAAAAAGGAAGTGGAAAGCATCAGAGGGAAAGCTGAAATGGTAAACCAAAGCTCAAAAGTCACCAATTCAATTACTGACCTTGAAAACATGAGTCAAAAAATGCATGTATATTTAGAAATAATTAGGGGGGAAATGGGAATTCTGGAAAATGTAAATGCTCAGTTGGAGAAACAAGTAGAAGGGCTCAAAGCATTGCAAGCTGAGAACAGGACCGTAAGAGACAAAATGAGCAGAGTAAAATCTCAGATAAAGATGGACTTGGAAAAAATGACTATACAAGTGAAAGCAGAGAGGGATGAAATTGTCCACATCAGGGCCGATATCCAAAAACAAAAACAGGAGCTTGAAATCAGACTGGAGAAAATTAAAACCGAAAGAAGAGAGATGGAAGTGTTGAAATCTGAGTTGGAAATCAAAAAAAGAGAAAATCAACAAATGCGAAAAGGCATTCGAAAAGAGCAGGAAGTTAAAAATATGTGGGCTGAGGTCAAAGGAGAAAAAGCTGCCCTCAAGAGGGAGAAACAGAAGTGGGGGAAGGAGCTCGACCAGCGACTGCAAAGGATCATCAAAGAGAGGGATGAACTAGAGATCATGAAACTGAAGCTGCAAATAGAAGAAGGTGAGAGTAAAAGTGGAATGAAAGAGAGGTTTCCAACTCAAACTCAAAAGCACTGGGAAATAATCCAGACATGTATGGAGAGATTTAAATTTATGAAAAAACGCAGTGAAGATTTGAATGGAGCAATTAAAGATGAAAAACAACACATGGAGGCTCAGGCAAAAATCATGACCCAGGCAAAAGAGGAAATGGAAGATCTCCAGATGGAGATTAAAAGAAAAAGGAAATGATTATATGTGCTTTAAAGAACATGCAACAAAAGCAAACACATTTGGACCAAGTGGAGATGAATATAATGGAAAAGAAAAACTCAATAGATAAAGAAAAGGAAAGAATCATAGAAAAATCAGAGGAGTTACTCCTGAGAGAGAAAGAGCTGGAGGATAAAATGAAGTTTCTCAAAGCTGAGGCAATGCTACAACAGAAAGAAAAACAATTTAAGTGTCTGAAGAAAACTGAAAGTGAAAATAAAAAGAAACCAATGCAAACTCAGGTACATAAACCAAAAGAAATAGAGAAGGAAGACCAATCTGGAAAAGAGCCAAAAGAAGAAAAGGTAGATGCGCATTTGATGAGAAACATAGAAGAACAAATACTATCAAAAGATCTGCAGGAAAGACTTGTGTTGCAACTGAATGAACCACTTGAGGAGGACATTAAGGAGAAGAAAGACATATCAAAAACAGAAATACAATTACATGAAAAAACTGAAAATGCACCAAGAAAAAAGAAATTTCAAACTAAAAGGAAACCAGAGCTTGGATGTAAAGAAACAGAGCATGAAAATCCAAACCTGCAGAAAGACAAAGGCTTGAAAAACCTACCTGGAACTGAACTGTTGATAAATAAAGACATGTTTAACTTTGACAAAATGAAAGATGAAAAAGAAATTAAACAGGTAGAACCAGATGAACAAGATGACACAGATATGCTACAAACTAAAGTGATTAAGCAGGCAAAAATAGAAGAACTGAAACCTAAAGAAGAGATAGAAGTGAGAGCAAAGGGTCTGATAAGAATGTCTGATATGGTCAAGGAAAAGGAGCATTTGAAACATCAGTGGAGGCCAAACATTGTACAAAATGAAGATCTTGAACAACTGAAGGCAGAGTTGAAGCAAGAGAGAGCTGATCTGAAACAAATGAATGAGATGATGAATAAAGAGAGACTGGACTTGGAGCTGATGAGATCTGACATCCAGAAACAAAATGAGAAATTAGAAAAGGAGAAACAGGACATAAAAGAGGAAAGAGAGAAATTGGAAATTACAAAGGCTGAGCTAGAAAAGAAGAAAAAATATGCAGACAGTCTGTTTGATGAGATAGACACAGAGAAAGCCAGCATTAAACATCTGACCCTCCAAGTTCAGACAGAAAGAAACAAACTTGAAAATGTCATGAACATGATTGCCTTAAAACAAAAAGAACAAGAACTCAAGGAAGATGAGTTCAAAATACTAAAACAAGATATAGAAACCAGTAAGAACAATGTCCTTACAGAAAGAGGAGAACTGGACGTTTTAAGGAAGGATCTGAACAAGAAGAAAGGAGAGGTTGAAGCGGCGATGAAAAGCATGAGTAGAGAGAGAGAACAACTCAGTAAAATGAAGAATGACAATGAGAAAGACAGAGAAATGATTCTGATTGAAAAGGACAGAATAGAAGTTCAATGCTCTGAACTGAAGATGAGACCAGATGAACTCATGAATGAAATTAAGTCAATACAAACTCTGAGAAGGAAGCTTCAACAGCTTAAAGAAAGGATCACTGAAGACATGAAAAACAAAAGGGACAATTTGTAACAAAGGTCTGAAGATGTGCAAATGCTGTACACTGTATTGGTAGAAAGGGTGGCAGACCTTGATGGAGAAAAAGCAAAAATAATTTCTTACACTGACCTTTTAGAGAGACAAAAGGAATGTCTGAAAGGTATACCATCAGATGTGGTCACCCATAGACAGGGCATGGAAAATCAGTGGAAGCAAGGGTTTGAGTTGGAAAAACAAGATCTTGAAAAACTGAAAGCAGTGCTGAAGCAAGAGAAAGAGGATCTGGATAAAGTGAATGAGATCATGACCAAAGAGAGACTGGAGCTAGAAACCAGTAAGAACAGTGTGCTTACAGAAAGAGGAGAACTGGAAGTTTTGGGGAAGGATCTCCAAAAGAAAAAAGAAGAGGTCGACATTGCCACTAACAGCATCAGTGGAGAGAGAGAACAACTCAGTAAAATGAAGACTGACAATGACAAAGAGAGAGAAATACTTTTGATTGAAAGGGACAGAATAGAAGTTGAAAGGTCTGAGGTGAAAATAAAAGAAGATCAAGTCATGAAGATAATGAAATCAATGGAAACTATGAAAGTGAAGCTTCAGCGGCTGAACAATAGGATCAGTGAAGACATGAAAAACAAAGTGGACAGTTTGCAACAAAACTGTGAAGGTGCGCGAATTCTGTACGCTACATTGGAAAAAAGGTTGCAGCACTTGATGGAGAAAAAGAAAAAATGCCTTATTACACTGAGTTGTTAGAGAGAGAAAAGGAAGGTATTGCAGGTATACTGTCAGATGTGGTCACCCAAAGACAGAACATGGAAAATCAGTGGAAGCAAGGGTTTGAGTTGGAAAAACAAGATCTTGAAAAACTGAAAGCAGTGCTGAAGCAAGAGAGAGAGGATCTGGACAGAGTGAATGAGATCATGAACAAAGAAGGATTGGACTTAGAGCTGATGAGATCTGAAATTCAGGAACAAAGTAAATTATTAGAAAAGGAGAAAAAGGAGATAAAAGAGGGAAGACACAAGTTGGACATCACAAAAGCTGAGCTAGAAAAGAAGAAAGAACATGCAGACAGTCTGTTTGATGAGATAGACACAGAGAAGGCCAACATTAAACATCTGACCCTTCAAGTTCAGACAAAAAGAAACAAACTTGAACGTGTCATGAACATGATTACCTTGAAACAACAAGAACAAGAACTCAAGGAAGATGAGTTAACAAAACGAAAACAAGAACTGGTAATGAGTAAGAACACTGTGCTAAAAGAAAGAGGAGAACTGGATGTTTTGAGGAAGGATCTGAACAAAAAGAAAGAAGAGGTTGAAGCTGCCATGAACAGCATCACTAGAGAGAGAGAACAACTCAGTAAAATGAAGACTGACAATGAGAAAGAGAAAGAAATGATTTTAATTGAAAAGGACAGAATAGAAGGCCAATGCTCTGAACTGAAGATGAGACAAGATCAACTCGTGAATGAAATGAAATCAATACAAACTCTAAGAAGGAAGCTTCAACAGCTTAACGAAAGGATCATTGAAGACATGAAAAACAAAATGGACAATTTGCAACAAAGGTCTGAAGATGTGCAAATGCTGTACACTGTATTGGAAGAAAAGGTGGCAGACCTTGATGGTGAAAAAGAAAAAATGGCTTATTACACTGAGTTGTTAGAGAGAGAAAAGGAAGTTATTGCAGGTATACTGTCAGATGTGGTCACCCAAAGACAGGACATGGAAAATCAGTGTAAGCAAGGGTTTGAGTTGGAAAAACAAGATCTTGAAAAACTGAAAGCAATGCTGAAGCAAGAGAGAGGGGATCTGGATAGAGTGCATGAGATCATGACCAAAGAAAGATTGGACTTAGAGCTGATGAGATCTGAAATTCAGGAACAAAGTAAATTATTAGAAAAGGAGAAAAAGGAGATAAAAGAGGGAAGACACAAGTTGGACAGCACAAAAGCTGAGCTAGAAAAGAAGAAAGAACATGCAGACAGTCTGTTTGATGAGATAGACACAGAGAAGGCCAACATTAAACATCTGACCCTTCAAGTTCAGACAAAAAGAAACCAACTTGAACATGTCATGAACATGATAACCTTAAAACAACAAGAACAAGAACTCAAGGAAGATGAGTTAACAAAACGAAAACAAGAACTGGTAATGAATAAGAACACTGTGCTAACAGAAAGAGGAGAGCTGGATGTTTTGAGGAAGGATCTGAACAAAAAGAAAGAAGAGGTTGAAGCTGCCATGAACAGCATCACTAGAGAGAGAGAACAACTCAGTAAAATGAAGACTGACAATGAGAAAGAGAAAGAAATGATTTTAATTGAAAAGGACAGAATAGAAGTCCAATGCTCTGAACTGAAGATGAGACAAGATCAACTCGTAAATGAAATGAAATCAATACAAACTCTGAGAAGGAAGCTTCAACAGCTTAACGAAAGGATCATTGAAGACATGAAAAACAAAATGGACAATTTGCAACAAAGGTCTGAAGATGTGCAAATGCTGTACACTGTATTGGAAGAAAAGGTGGCAGACCTTGATGGTGAAAAAGAAAAAATGGCTTATTACACTGAGTTGTTAGAGAGAGAAAAGGAAGTTATTGCAGGTATACTGTCAGATGTGGTAACCCAAAGACAGGACATGGAGAATCAGTGTAAGCAAGGGTTTGAGTTGGAAAAACAAGATCTTGAAAAACTGAAAGCAGTGCTGAAGCAAGAGAGAGAGGATCTGGATAGAGTGCATGAGATCATGACCAAAGAGAGACTGGAGCTAGAAACCAGTAAGAACAGTGTCCTTACAGAAAGAGGAGAACTGGAAGTTTTGGGGAAGGATCTCAAAAAGAAGAAAGAAGAGGTCGACATTGCCATGAACAGCATCAGTGGAGAGAGAGAACAACTCAGTAAAATTAAGACTGACAATGACAAAGAGAGAGAAGTACTTTTGATTGAAAGGGACAGAATAGAACTTGAAAGGTCTGAGGTGAAAATAAAAGAAGAACAAGTCATGAAGCAAATGAAATCAATGGAAACTATGAAAGTGAAGCTTCAGCGGCTGTACAATAGGATCAGTGAAGACATGAAAAACAAAGTGGACAGTTTGCAACAAAACTGTGAAGGTGCGCAAATTCTGTATGCTACATTGGAACAAAAGGTTGCAGCACTTGATGGAGAAAAAGAAAAATTGACTAATTACACTGAGTTGTTAGAGAGAGAAAAGGAAGGTATTGCAGGTATACTGTCAGATGTGGTCACCCAGAGACAGGGCATGGAAAATCAGTGTAAGCAAGGGTTTGAGTTGGAAAAACAAGATCTTGAAAAACTGAAAGCAGTGCTGAAGCAAGAGAGAGAGGATCTGGATAGAGTGCATGAGATCATGACCCAAGAGAGACTGGAGCTAGAAACCAGTAAGAACAGTGTCCTTACAGAAAGAGGAGAACTGGAAGTTTTGGGGAAGGATCTCAAAAAGAAGAAAGAAGAGGTCGACATTGCCATGAACAGCATCAGTGGAGAGAGAGAACAACTCAGTAAAATGAAGACTGACAATGACAAAGAGAGAGAAGTACTTTTGATTGAAAGCGACAGAATAGAAGTTGAAAGGTCTGAGGTGAAAATAAAAGAAGATCAAGTCATGAAGCAAATGAAATCAATGGAAACTATGAAAGTGAAGCTTCAGCAACTGTACAATAGGATCAGTGAAGACATGAAAAACAAAATGGACAGTTTGCAACAAAACTGTGAAGGTGCGCAAATTCTGTATGCTACATTGGAAGAAAAGGTTGCAGCACTTGATAGAGAAAAAGAAAAAATGGCTTATTACACTGAGTTGTTAGAGAGAGAAAAGGAAGGTATTGCAGGTATACTGTCAGATGTTGTCACCCAGAGACAGGGCATGGAAAATCAGTGTAAGCAAGGGTTTGAGTTGGAAAAACAAGATCTTGAAAAACTGAAAGCAGTGCTGAAGCAAGAGAGAGGGGATCTGGATAGAGTGCATGAGATCATGACCAAAGAAAGATTGGACTTAGAGCTGATGAGATCTGAAATTCAGGAACAAAGTAAATTATTAGAAAAGGAGAAAAAGGAGATAAAAGAGGGAAGACACAAGTTGGACAGCACAAAAGCTGAGCTAGAAAAGAAGAAAGAACATGCAGACAGTCTGTTTGATGAGATAGACACAGAGAAGGCCAACATTAAACATCTGACCCTTCAAGTTCAGACAAAAAGAAACCAACTTGAACATGTCATGAACATGATAACCTTAAAACAACAAGAACAAGAACTCAAGGAAGATGAGTTAACAAAACGAAAACAAGAACTGGTAATGAATAAGAACACTGTGCTAACAGAAAGAGGAGAGCTGGATGTTTTGAGGAAGGATCTGAACAAAAAGAAAGAAGAGGTTGAAGCTGCCATGAACAGCATCACTAGAGAGAGAGAACAACTCAGTAAAATGAAGACTGACAATGAGAAAGAGAAAGAAATGATTTTAATTGAAAAGGACAGAATAGAAGTCCAATGCTCTGAACTGAAGATGAGACAAGATCAACTCGTAAATGAAATGAAATCAATACAAACTCTGAGAAGGAAGCTTCAACAGCTTAACGAAAGGATCATTGAAGACATGAAAAACAAAATGGACAATTTGCAACAAAGGTCTGAAGATGTGCAAATGCTGTACACTGTATTGGAAGAAAAGGTGGCAGACCTTGATGGTGAAAAAAGAAAAATGGCTTATTACACTGAGTTGTTAGAGAGAGAAAAGGAAGTTATTGCAGGTATACTGTCAGATGTGGTCACCCAAAGACAGGACATGGAAAATCAGTGTAAGCAAGGGTTTGAGTTGGAAAAACAAGATCTTGAAAAACTGAAAGCAGTGCTGAAGCAAGAGAGAGAGGATCTGGATAGAGTGCATGAGATCATGACCAAAGAGAGACTGGAGCTAGAAACCAGTAAGAACAGTGTCCTTACAGAAAGAGGAGAACTGGAAGTTTTGGGGAAGGATCTCAAAAAGAAGAAAGAAGAGGTCGACATTGCCATGAACAGCATCAGTGGAGAGAGAGAACAACTCAGTAAAATGAAGACTGACAATGACAAAGAGAGAGAAGTACTTTTGATTGAAAGCGACAGAATAGAAGTTGAAAGGTCTGAGGTGAAAATAAAAGAAGATCAAGTCATGAAGCAAATGAAATCAATGGAAACTATGAAAGTGAAGCTTCAGCGGCTGTACAATAGGATCAGTGAAGACATGAAAAACAAAGTGGACAGTTTGCAACAAAACTGTGAAGGTGCGCAAATTCTGTATGCTACATTGGAACAAAAGGTTGCAGCACTTGATGGAGAAAAAGAAAAATTGACTAATTACACTGAGTTGTTAGAGAGAGAAAAGGAAGGTATTGCAGGTATACTGTCAGATGTGGTCACCCAAAGACAGGACATGGAGAATCAGTGTAAGCAAGGGTTTGAGTTGGAAAAACAAGATCTTGAAAAACTGAAAGCAGTGCTGAAGCAAGAGAGGGAGGATCTGGATAGAGTGCATGAGATCATGACCCAAGAGAGACTGGAGCTAGGAACCAGTAAGAACAGTGTCCTTACAGAAAGAGGAGAACTGGAAGTTTTGGGGAAGGATCTCAAAAAGAAGAAAGAAGAGGTTGACATTGCCATGAACAGCATCAGTGGAGAGAGAGAACAACTCAGTAAAATGAAGACTGACAATGACAAAGATAGAGAAGTACTTTTGATTGAAAGCGACAGAATACAAGTTGAAAGGTCTGAGGTGAAAATAAAAGAAGATCAAGTCATGAAGCAAATGAAATCAATGGAAACTATGAAAGTGAAGCTTCAGCGGCTGTACAATAGGATCAGTGAAGACATGAAAAACAAAATGGACAGTTTGCAACAAAACTGTGAAGGAGCGCAAGTTCTGTACGCTACATTGGAAAAAAAGGTTGCAGCACTTGATATAGAAAAAGAAAAAATGGCTTATTACACTGAGTTGTTAGAGAGAGAAAAGGAAGGTATTGCAGGTATACTGTCAGATGTGGTCACCCAGAGACAGGGCATGGAAAATCAGTGTAAGCAAGGGTTTGAGTTGGAAAAACAAGATCTTGAAAAACTGAAAGCAGTGCTGAAGCAAGAGAGAGGGGATCTGGATAGAGTGCATGAGATCATGACCAAAGAAAGATTGGACTTAGAGCTGATGAGATCTGAAATTCAGGAACAAAGTAAATTATTAGAAAAGGAGAAAAAGGAGATAAAAAGAGGGAAGACACAAGTTGGACAGCACAAAAGCTGAGCCAGAAAAGAAGAAAGAACATGCAGACAGTCTGTTTGATGAGATAGACACAGAGAAGGCCAACATTAAACATCTGACCCTTCAAGTTCAGACAAAAAGAAACCAACTTGAACATGTCATGAACATGATAACCTTAAAACAACAAGAACAAGAACTCAAGGAAGATGAGTTAACAAAACGAAAACAAGAACTGGTAATGAATAAGAACACTGTGCTAACAGAAAGAGGAGAGCTGGATGTTTTGAGGAAGGATCTGAACAAAAAGAAAGAAGAGGTTGAAGCTGCCATGAACAGCATCACTAGAGAGAGAGAACAACTCAGTAAAATGAAGACTGACAATGAGAAAGAGAAAGAAATGATTTTAATTGAAAAGGACAGAATAGAAGTCCAATGCTCTGAACTGAAGATGAGACAAGATCAACTCGTAAATGAAATGAAATCAATACAAACTCTGAGAAGGAAGCTTCAACAGCTTAACGAAAGGATCATTGAAGACATGAAAAACAAAATGGACAATTTGCAACAAAGGTCTGAAGATGTGCAAATGCTGTACACTGTATTGGAAGAAAAGGTTGCAGACCTTGATGGTGAAAAAGAAAAAATGGCTTATTACACTGAGTTGTTAGAGAGAGAAAAGGAAGTTATTGCAGGTATACTGTCAGATGTGGTCACCCAAAGACAGGACATGGAAAATCAGTGTAAGCAAGGGTTTGAGTTGGAAAAACAAGATCTTGAAAAACTGAAAGCAGTGCTGAAGCAAGAGAGAGAGGATCTGGATAGAGTGCATGAGATCATGACCAAAGAGAGACTGGAGCTAGAAACCAGTAAGAACAGTGTCCTTACAGAAAGAGGAGAACTGGAAGTTTTGGGGAAGGATCTCAAAAAGAAGAAAGAAGAGGTCGACATTGCCATGAACAGCATCAGTGGAGAGAGAGAACAACTCAGTAAAATGAAGACTGACAATGACAAAGAGAGAGAAATACTTTTGATTGAAAGCGACAGAATAGAAGTTGAAAGGTCTGAGGTGAAAATAAAAGAAGATCAAGTCATGAAGCAAATGAAATCAATGGAAACTATGAAAGTGAAGCTTCAGCGGCTGTACAATAGGATCAGTGAAGACATGAAAAACAAAGTGGACAGTTTGCAACAAAACTGTGAAGGTGCGCAAATTCTGTATGCTACATTGGAACAAAAGGTTGCAGCACTTGATGGAGAAAAAGAAAAATTGACTAATTACACTGAGTTGTTAGAGAGAGAAAAGGAAGGTATTGCAGGTATACTGTCAGATGTGGTCACCCAAAGACAGGACATGGAGAATCAGTGTAAGCAAGGGTTTGAGTTGGAAAAACAAGATCTTGAAAAACTGAAAGCAGTGCTGAAGCAAGAGAGAGAGGATCTGGATAGAGTGCATGAGATCATGACCAAAGAAAGATTGGACTTAGAGCTGATGAGATCTGAAATTCAGGAACAAAGTAAATTATTAGAAAAGGAGAAAAAGGAGATAAAAGAGGGAAGACACAAGTTGGACAGCACAAAAGCTGAGCTAGAAAAGAAGAAAGAACATGCAGACAGTCTGTTTGATGAGATAGACACAGAGAAGGCCAACATTAAACATCTGACCCTTCAAGTTCAGACAAAAAGAAACCAACTTGAACATGTCATGAACATGATAACCTTAAAACAACAAGAACAAGAACTCAAGGAAGATGAGTTAACAAAACGAAAACAAGAACTGGTAATGAATAAGAACACTGTGCTAACAGAAAGAGGAGAGCTGGATGTTTTGAGGAAGGATCTGAACAAAAAGAAAGAAGAGGTTGAAGCTGCCATGAACAGCATCACTAGAGAGAGAGAACAACTCAGTAAAATGAAGACTGACAATGAGAAAGAGAAAGAAATGATTTTAATTGAAAAGGACAGAATAGAAGTCCAATGCTCTGAACTGAAGATGAGACAAGATCAACTCGTAAATGAAATGAAATCAATACAAACTCTGAGAAGGAAGCTTCAACAGCTTAACGAAAGGATCATTGAAGACATGAAAAACAAAATGGACAATTTGCAACAAAGGTCTGAAGATGTGCAAATGCTGTACACTGTATTGGAAGAAAAGGTGGCAGACCTTGATGGTGAAAAAGAAAAAATGGCTTATTACACTGAGTTGTTAGAGAGAGAAAAGGAAGTTATTGCAGGTATACTGTCAGATGTGGTCACCCAAAGACAGGACATGGAAAATCAGTGTAAGCAAGGGTTTGAGTTGGAAAAACAAGATCTTGAAAAACTGAAAGCAGTGCTGAAGCAAGAGAGAGAGGATCTGGATAGAGTGCATGAGATCATGACCAAAGAGAGACTGGAGCTAGAAACCAGTAAGAACAGTGTCCTTACAGAAAGAGGAGAACTGGAAGTTTTGGGGAAGGATCTCAAAAAGAAGAAAGAAGAGGTCGACATTGCCATGAACAGCATCAGTGGAGAGAGAGAACAACTCAGTAAAATGAAGACTGACAATGACAAAGAGAGAGAAGTACTTTTGATTGAAAGCGACAGAATAGAAGTTGAAAGGTCTGAGGTGAAAATAAAAGAAGATCAAGTCATGAAGCAAATGAAATCAATGGAAACTATGAAAGTGAAGCTTCAGCGGCTGTACAATAGGATCAGTGAAGACATGAAAAACAAAGTGGACAGTTTGCAACAAAACTGTGAAGGTGCGCAAATTCTGTATGCTACATTGGAACAAAAGGTTGCAGCACTTGATGGAGAAAAAGAAAAATTGACTAATTACACTGAGTTGTTAGAGAGAGAAAAGGAAGGTATTGCAGGTATACTGTCAGATGTGGTCACCCAAAGACAGGACATGGAGAATCAGTGTAAGCAAGGGTTTGAGTTGGAAAAACAAGATCTTGAAAAACTGAAAGCAGTGCTGAAGCAAGAGAGAGAGGATCTGGATAGAGTGCATGAGATCATGACCCAAGAGAGACTGGAGCTAGAAACCAGTAAGAACAGTGTCCTTACAGAAAGAGGAGAACTGGAAGTTTTGGGGAAGGATCTCAAAAAGAAGAAAGAAGAGGTTGACATTGCCATGAACAGCATCAGTGGAGAGAGAGAACAACTCAGTAAAATGAAGACTGACAATGACAAAGAGAGAGAAGTACTTTTGATTGAAAGCGACAGAATAGAAGTTGAAAGGTCTGAGGTGAAAATAAAAGAAGATCAAGTCATGAAGCAAATGAAATCAATGGAAACTATGAAAGTGAAGCTTCAGCGGCTGTACAATAGGATCAGTGAAGACATGAAAAACAAAATGGACAGTTTGCAACAAAACTGTGAAGGTGCGCAAGTTCTGTATGCTACATTGGAAAAAAAGGTTGCAGCACTTGATGGAGAAAAAGAAAAATTGACTAATTACACTGAGTTGTTAGAGAGAGAAAAGGAAGGTATTGCAGGTATACTGTCAGATGTGGTCACCCAGAGACAGGGCATGGAAAATCAGTGTAAGCAAGGGTTTGAGTTGGAAAAACAAGATCTTGAAAAACTGAAAGCAGTGCTGAAGCAAGAGAGAGGGGATCTGGATAGAGTGCATGAGATCATGACCAAAGAAAGATTGGACTTAGAGCTGATGAGATCTGAAATTCAGGAACAAAGTAAATTATTAGAAAAGGAGAAAAAGGAGATAAAAGAGGAAGACACAAGTTGGACAGCACAAAAGCTGAGCTAGAAAAGAAGAAAGAACATGCAGACAGTCTGTTTGATGAGATAGACACAGAGAAGGCCAACATTAAACATCTGACCCTTCAAGTTCAGACAAAAAGAAACCAACTTGAACATGTCATGAACATGATAACCTTAAAACAACAAGAACAAGAACTCAAGGAAGATGAGTTAACAAAACGAAAACAAGAACTGGTAATGAATAAGAACACTGTGCTAACAGAAAGAGGAGAGCTGGATGTTTTGAGGAAGGATCTGAACAAAAAGAAAGAAGAGGTTGAAGCTGCCATGAACAGCATCACTAGAGAGAGAGAACAACTCAGTAAAATGAAGACTGACAATGAGAAAGAGAAAGAAATGATTTTAATTGAAAAGGACAGAATAGAAGTCCAATGCTCTGAACTGAAGATGAGACAAGATCAACTCGTAAATGAAATGAAATCAATACAAACTCTGAGAAGGAAGCTTCAACAGCTTAACGAAAGGATCATTGAAGACATGAAAAACAAAATGGACAATTTGCAACAAAGGTCTGAAGATGTGCAAATGCTGTACACTGTATTGGAAGAAAAGGTGGCAGACCTTGATGGTGAAAAAGAAAAAATGGCTTATTACACTGAGTTGTTAGAGAGAGAAAAGGAAGTTATTGCAGGTATACTGTCAGATGTGGTCACCCAAAGACAGGACATGGAAAATCAGTGTAAGCAAGGGTTTGAGTTGGAAAAACAAGATCTTGAAAAACTGAAAGCAGTGCTGAAGCAAGAGAGAGAGGATCTGGATAGAGTGCATGAGATCATGACCAAAGAGAGACTGGAGCTAGAAACCAGTAAGAACAGTGTCCTTACAGAAAGAGGAGAACTGGAAGTTTTGGGGAAGGATCTCAAAAAGAAGAAAGAAGAGGTCGACATTGCCATGAACAGCATCAGTGGAGAGAGAGAACAACTCAGTAAAATGAAGACTGACAATGACAAAGAGAGAGAAATACTTTTGATTGAAAGCGACAGAATAGAAGTTGAAAGGTCTGAGGTGAAAATAAAAGAAGATCAAGTCATGAAGCAAATGAAATCAATGGAAACTATGAAAGTGAAGCTTCAGCGGCTGTACAATAGGATCAGTGAAGACATGAAAAACAAAATGGACAGTTTGCAACAAAACTGTGAAGGTGCGCAAATTCTGTATGCTACATTGGAACAAAAGGTTGCAGCACTTGATGGAGAAAAAGAAAAATTGACTAATTACACTGAGTTGTTAGAGAGACAAAAGGAAGGTATTGCAGGTATACTGTCAGATGTGGTCACCCAAAGACAGGACATGGAGAATCAGTGTAAGCAAGGGTTTGAGTTGGAAAAACAAGATCTTGAAAAACTGAAAGCAGTGCTGAAGCAAGAGAGAGAGGATCTGGATAGAGTGCATGAGATCATGACCAAAGAGAGACTGGAGCTAGAAACCAGTAAGAACAGTGTCCTTACAGAAAGAGGAGAACTGGAAGTTTTGGGGAAGGATCTCAAAAAAAGAAAGAAGAGGTTGACATTGCCATGAACAGCATCAGTGGAGAGAGAGAACAACTCAGTAAAATGAAGACTGACAATGAGAAAGAGAAAGAAATGATTTTAATTGAAAAGGACAGAATAGAAGTCCAATGCTCTGAACTGAAGATGAGACAAGATCAACTCGTAAATGAAATGAAATCAATACAAACTCTGAGAAGGAAGCTTCAACAGCTTAACGAAAGGATCATTGAAGACATGAAAAACAAAATGGACAATTTGCAACAAAGGTCTGAAGATGTGCAAATGCTGTACACTGTATTGGAAGAAAAGGTGGCAGACCTTGATGGTGAAAAAGAAAAAATGGCTTATTACACTGAGTTGTTAGAGAGAGAAAAGGAAGGTATTGCAGGTATACTGTCAGATGTGGTCACCCAAAGACAGGACATGGAGAATCAGTGTAAGCAAGGGTTTGAGTTGGAAAAACAAGATCTTGAAAAACTGAAAGCAGTGCTGAAGCAAGAGAGAGAGGATCTGGATAGAGTGCATGAGATCATGACCAAAGAGAGACTGGAGCTAGAAACCAGTAAGAACAGTGTCCTTACAGAAAGAGGAGAACTGGAAGTTTTGGGGAAGGATCTCAAAAAGAAGAAAGAAGAGGTCGACATTGCCATGAACAGCATCAGTGGAGAGAGAGAACAACTCAGTAAAATGAAGACTGACAATGACAAAGAGAGAGAAGTACTTTTGATTGAAAGCGACAGAATAGAAGTTGAAAGGTCTGAGGTGAAAATAAAAGAAGATCAAGTCATGAAGCAAATGAAATCAATGGAAACTATGAAAGTGAAGCTTCAGCGGCTGTACAATAGGATCAGTGAAGACATGAAAAACAAAGTGGACAGTTTGCAACAAAACTGTGAAGGTGCGCAAATTCTGTATGCTACATTGGAACAAAAGGTTGCAGCACTTGATGGAGAAAAAGAAAAATTGACTAATTACACTGAGTTGTTAGAGAGAGAAAAGGAAGGTATTGCAGGTATACTGTCAGATGTGGTCACCCAAAGACAGGACATGGAGAATCAGTGTAAGCAAGGGTTTGAGTTGGAAAAACAAGATCTTGAAAAACTGAAAGCAGTGCTGAAGCAAGAGAGAGAGGATCTGGATAGAGTGCATGAGATCATGACCCAAGAGAGACTGGAGCTAGAAACCAGTAAGAACAGTGTCCTTACAGAAAGAGGAGAACTGGAAGTTTTGGGGAAGGATCTCAAAAAGAAGAAAGAAGAGGTTGACATTGCCATGAACAGCATCAGTGGAGAGAGAGAACAACTCAGTAAAATGAAGACTGACAATGACAAAGAGAGAGAAGTACTTTTGATTGAAAGCGACAGAATAGAAGTTGAAAGGTCTGAGGTGAAAATAAAAGAAGATCAAGTCATGAAGCAAATGAAATCAATGGAAACTATGAAAGTGAAGCTTCAGCGGCTGTACAATAGGATCAGTGAAGACATGAAAAACAAAATGGACAGTTTGCAACAAAACTGTGAAGGTGCGCAAATTCTGTATGCTACATTGGAACAAAAGGTTGCAGCACTTGATGGAGAAAAGAAAAATTTACTAATTACACTGAGTTGTTAGAGAGACAAAAGGAAGGTATTGCAGGTATACTGTCAGATGTGGTCACCCAGAGACAGGGCATGGAAAATCAGTGTAAGCAAGGGTTTAAGTTGGAAAAACAAGATCTTGAAAAACTGAAAGCAGTGCTGAAGCAAGAGAGAGGGGATCTGGATAGAGTGCATGAGATCATGACCAAAGAAAGATTGGACTTAGAGCTGATGAGATCTGAAATTCAGGAACAAAGTAAATTATTAGAAAAGGAGAAAAAGGAGATAAAAGAGGGAAGACACAAGTTGGACAGCACAAAAGCTGAGCTAGAAAAGAAGAAAGAACATGCAGACAGTCTGTTTGATGAGATAGACACAGAGAAGGCCAACATTAAACATCTGACCCTTCAAGTTCAGACAAAAAGAAACCAACTTGAACATGTCATGAACATGATAACCTTAAAACAACAAGAACAAGAACTCAAGGAAGATGAGTTAACAAAACGAAAACAAGAACTGGTAATGAATAAGAACACTGTGCTAACAGAAAGAGGAGAGCTGGATGTTTTGAGGAAGGATCTGAACAAAAAGAAAGAAGAGGTTGAAGCTGCCATGAACAGCATCACTAGAGAGAGAGAACAACTCAGTAAAATGAAGACTGACAATGAGAAAGAGAAAGAAATGATTTTAATTGAAAAGGACAGAATAGAAGTCCAATGCTCTGAACTGAAGATGAGACAAGATCAACTCGTAAATGAAATGAAATCAATACAAACTCTGAGAAGGAAGCTTCAACAGCTTAACGAAAGGATCATTGAAGACATGAAAAACAAAATGGACAATTTGCAACAAAGGTCTGAAGATGTGCAAATGCTGTACACTGTATTGGAAGAAAAGGTGGCAGACCTTGATGGTGAAAAAGAAAAAATGGCTTATTACACTGAGTTGTTAGAGAGAGAAAAGGAAGTTATTGCAGGTATACTGTCAGATGTGGTCACCCAAAGACAGGACATGGAAAATCAGTGTAAGCAAGGGTTTGAGTTGGAAAAACAAGATCTTGAAAAACTGAAAGCAGTGCTGAAGCAAGAGAGAGAGGATCTGGATAGAGTGCATGAGATCATGACCAAAGAGAGACTGGAGCTAGAAACCAGTAAGAACAGTGTCCTTACAGAAAGAGGAGAACTGGAAGTTTTGGGGAAGGATCTCAAAAAGAAGAAAGAAGAGGTCGACATTGCCATGAACAGCATCAGTGGAGAGAGAGAACAACTCAGTAAAATGAAGACTGACAATGACAAAGAGAGAGAAGTACTTTTGATTGAAAGCGACAGAATAGAAGTTGAAAGGTCTGAGGTGAAAATAAAAGAAGATCAAGTCATGAAGCAAATGAAATCAATGGAAACTATGAAAGTGAAGCTTCAGCGGCTGTACAATAGGATCAGTGAAGACATGAAAAACAAAGTGGACAGTTTGCAACAAAACTGTGAAGGTGCGCAAATTCTGTATGCTACATTGGAACAAAAGGTTGCAGCACTTGATGGAGAAAAAGAAAAATTGACTAATTACACTGAGTTGTTAGAGAGAGAAAAGGAAGGTATTGCAGGTATACTGTCAGATGTGGTCACCCAAAGACAGGACATGGAGAATCAGTGTAAGCAAGGGTTTGAGTTGGAAAAACAAGATCTTGAAAAACTGAAAGCAGTGCTGAAGCAAGAGAGAGAGGATCTGGATAGAGTGCATGAGATCATGACCCAAGAGAGACTGGAGCTAGGAACCAGTAAGAACAGTGTCCTTACAGAAAGAGGAGAACTGGAAGTTTTGGGGAAGGATCTCAAAAAGAAGAAAGAAGAGATTGACATTGCCATGAACAGCATCAGTGGAGAGAGAGAACAACTCAGTAAAATGAAGACTGACAATGACAAAGAGAGAGAAGTACTTTTGATTGAAAGCGACAGAATAGAAGTTGAAAGGTCTGAGGTGAAAATAAAAGAAGATCAAGTCATGAAGCAAATGAAATCAATGGAAACTATGAAAGTGAAGCTTCAGCGGCTGTACAATAGGATCAGTGAAGACATGAAAAACAAAGTGGACAGTTTGCAACAAAACTGTGAAGGTGCGCAAATTCTGTATGCTACATTGGAACAAAAGGTTGCAGCACTTGATGGAGAAAAAGAAAAATTGACTAATTACACTGAGTTGTTAGAGAGAGAAAAGGAAGGTATTGCAGGTATACTGTCAGATGTGGTCACCCAGAGACAGGGCATGGAAAATCAGTGTAAGCAAGGGTTTGAGTTGGAAAAACAAGATCTTGAAAAACTGAAAGCAGTGCTGAAGCAAGAGAGAGAGGATCTGGACAGAGTGAATGAGATCATGACCAAAGAAAGATTGGACTTAGAGCTGATGAGATCTGAAATTCAGGAACAAAGTAAATTATTAGAAAAGGAGAAAAAGGAGATAAAAGAGGGAAGACACAAGTTGGACAGCACAAAAGCTGAGCTAGAAAAGAAGAAAGAACATGCAGACAGTCTGTTTGATGAGATAGACACAGAGAAGGCCAACATTAAACATCTGACCCTTCAAGTTCAGACAAAAAGAAACCAACTTGAACATGTCATGAACATGATAACCTTAAAACAACAAGAACAAGAACTCAAGGAAGATGAGTTAACAAAACGAAAACAAGAACTGGTAATGAATAAGAACACTGTGCTAACAGAAAGAGGAGAGCTGGATGTTTTGAGGAAGGATCTGAACAAAAAGAAAGAAGAGGTTGAAGCTGCCATGAACAGCATCACTAGAGAGAGAGAACAACTCAGTAAAATGAAGACTGACAATGAGAAAGAGAAAGAAATGATTTTAATTGAAAAGGACAGAATAGAAGTCCAATGCTCTGAACTGAAGATGAGACAAGATCAACTCGTAAATGAAATGAAATCAATACAAACTCTGAGAAGGAAGCTTCAACAGCTTAACGAAAGGATCATTGAAGACATGAAAAACAAAATGGACAATTTGCAACAAAGGTCTGAAGATGTGCAAATGCTGTACACTGTATTGGAAGAAAAGGTGGCAGACCTTGATGGTGAAAAAGAAAAAATGGCTTATTACACTGAGTTGTTAGAGAGAGAAAAGGAAGTTATTGCAGGTATACTGTCAGATGTGGTCACCCAAAGACAGGACATGGAAAATCAGTGTAAGCAAGGGTTTGAGTTGGAAAAACAAGATCTTGAAAAACTGAAAGCAGTGCTGAAGCAAGAGAGAGAGGATCTGGATAGAGTGCATGAGATCATGACCAAAGAGAGACTGGAGCTAGAAACCAGTAAGAACAGTGTCCTTACAGAAAGAGGAGAACTGGAAGTTTTGGGGAAGGATCTCAAAAAGAAGAAAGAAGAGGTCGACATTGCCATGAACAGCATCAGTGGAGAGAGAGAACAACTCAGTAAAATGAAGACTGACAATGACAAAGAGAGAGAAATACTTTTGATTGAAAGCGACAGAATAGAAGTTGAAAGGTCTGAGGTGAAAATAAAAGAAGATCAAGTCATGAAGCAAATGAAATCAATGGAAACTATGAAAGTGAAGCTTCAGCGGCTGTACAATAGGATCAGTGAAGACATGAAAAACAAAATGGACAGTTTGCAACAAAACTGTGAAGGTGCGCAAATTCTGTATGCTACATTGGAACAAAAGGTTGCAGCACTTGATGGAGAAAAAGAAAAATTGACTAATTACACTGAGTTGTTAGAGAGACAAAAGGAAGGTATTGCAGGTATACTGTCAGATGTGGTCACCCAAAGACAGGACATGGAGAATCAGTGTAAGCAAGGGTTTGAGTTGGAAAAACAAGATCTTGAAAAACTGAAAGCAGTGCTGAAGCAAGAGAGAGAGGATCTGGATAGAGTGCATGAGATCATGACCAAAGAGAGACTGGAGCTAGAAACCAGTAAGAACAGTGTCCTTACAGAAAGAGGAGAACTGGAAGTTTTGGGGAAGGATCTCAAAAAGAAGAAAGAAGAGGTCGACATTGCCATGAACAGCATCAGTGGAGAGAGAGAACAACTCAGTAAAATGAAGACTGACAATGAGAAAGAGAAAGAAATGATTTTAATTGAAAAGGACAGAATAGAAGTCCAATTCTCTGAACTGAAGATGAGACAAGATCAACTCGTAAATGAAATGAAATCAATACAAACTCTGAGAAGGAAGCTTCAACAGCTTAACGAAAGGATCATTGAAGACATGAAAAACAAAATGGACAATTTGCAACAAAGGTCTGAAGATGTGCAAATGCTGTACACTGTATTGGAAGAAAAGGTGGCAGACCTTGATGGTGAAAAAGAAAAAATGGCTTATTACACTGAGTTGTTAGAGAGAGAAAAGGAAGGTATTGCAGGTATACTGTCAGATGTGGTCACCCAAAGACAGGACATGGAGAATCAGTGTAAGCAAGGGTTTGAGTTGGAAAAACAAGATCTTGAAAAACTGAAAGCAGTGCTGAAGCAAGAGAGAGAGGATCTGGATAGAGTGCATGAGATCATGACCAAAGAGAGACTGGAGCTAGAAACCAGTAAGAACAGTGTCCTTACAGAAAGAGGAGAACTGGAAGTTTTGGGGAAGGATCTCAAAAAGAAGAAAGAAGAGGTCGACATTGCCATGAACAGCATCAGTGGAGAGAGAGAACAACTCAGTAAAATGAAGACTGACAATGACAAAGAGAGAGAAGTACTTTTGATTGAAAGCGACAGAATAGAAGTTGAAAGGTCTGAGGTGAAAATAAAAGAAGATCAAGTCATGAAGCAAATGAAATCAATGGAAACTATGAAAGTGAAGCTTCAGCGGCTGTACAATAGGATCAGTGAAGACATGAAAAACAAAGTGGACAGTTTGCAACAAAACTGTGAAGGTGCGCAAATTCTGTATGCTACATTGGAACAAAAGGTTGCAGCACTTGATGGAGAAAAAGAAAAATTGACTAATTACACTGAGTTGTTAGAGAGAGAAAAGGAAGGTATTGCAGGTATACTGTCAGATGTGGTCACCCAAAGACAGGACATGGAGAATCAGTGTAAGCAAGGGTTTGAGTTGGAAAAACAAGATCTTGAAAAACTGAAAGCAGTGCTGAAGCAAGAGAGAGAGGATCTGGATAGAGTGCATGAGATCATGACCCAAGAGAGACTGGAGCTAGAAACCAGTAAGAACAGTGTCCTTACAGAAAGAGGAGAACTGGAAGTTTTGGGGAAGGATCTCAAAAAAGAAGAAAGAAGAGGTTGACATTGCCATGAACAGCATCAGTGGAGAGAGAGAACAACTCAGTAAAATGAAGACTGACAATGACAAAGAGAGAGAAGTACTTTTGATTGAAAGCGACAGAATAGAAGTTGAAAGGTCTGAGGTGAAAATAAAAGAAGATCAAGTCATGAAGCAAATGAAATCAATGGAAACTATGAAAGTGAAGCTTCAGCGGCTGTACAATAGGATCAGTGAAGACATGAAAAACAAAATGGACAGTTTGCAACAAAACTGTGAAGGTGCGCAAATTCTGTATGCTACATTGGAACAAAAGGTTGCAGCACTTGATGGAGAAAAAGAAAAATTGACTAATTACACTGAGTTGTTAGAGAGAGAAAAGGAAGGTATTGCAGGTATACTGTCAGATGTGGTCACCCAAAGACAGGACATGGAGAATCAGTGTAAGCAAGGGTTTGAGTTGGAAAAACAAGATCTTGAAAAACTGAAAGCAGTGCTGAAGCAAGAGAGAGGGGATCTGGATAGAGTGCATGAGATCATGACCAAAGAAAGATTGGACTTAGAGCTGATGAGATCTGAAATTCAGGAACAAAGTAAATTATTAGAAAAGGAGAAAAAGGAGATAAAAGAGGGAAGACACAAGTTGGACAGCACAAAAGCTGAGCTAGAAAAGAAGAAAGAACATGCAGACAGTCTGTTTGATGAGATAGACACAGAGAAGGCCAACATTAAACATCTGACCCTTCAAGTTCAGACAAAAAGAAACCAACTTGAACATGTCATGAACATGATAACCTTAAAACAACAAGAACAAGAACTCAAGGAAGATGAGTTAACAAAACGAAAACAAGAACTGGTAATGAATAAGAACACTGTGCTAACAGAAAGAGGAGAGCTGGATGTTTTGAGGAAGGATCTGAACAAAAAGAAAGAAGAGGTTGAAGCTGCCATGAACAGCATCACTAGAGAGAGAGAACAACTCAGTAAAATGAAGACTGACAATGAGAAAGAGAATGAAATGATTTTAATTGAAAAGGACAGAATAGAAGTCCAATGCTCTGAACTGAAGATGAGACAAGATCAACTCGTAAATGAAATGAAATCAATACAAACTCTGAGAAGGAAGCTTCAACAGCTTAACGAAAAGATCATTGAAGACATGAAAAACAAAATGGACAATTTGCAACAAAGGTCTGAAGATGTGCAAATGCTGTACACTGTATTGGAAGAAAAGGTGGCAGACCTTGATGGTGAAAAAGAAAAAATGGCTTATTACACTGAGTTGTTAGAGAGAGAAAAGGAAGGTATTGCAGGTATACTGTCAGATGTGGTCACCCAAAGACAGGACATGGAGAATCAGTGTAAGCAAGGGTTTGAGTTGGAAAAACAAGATCTTGAAAAACTGAAAGCAGTGCTGAAGCAAGAGAGAGAGGATCTGGATAGAGTGCATGAGATCATGACCCAAGAGAGACTGGAGCTAGAAACCAGTAAGAACAGTGTCCTTACAGAAAGAGGAGAACTGGAAGTTTTGGGGAAGGATCTCAAAAAGAAGAAAGAAGAGGTTGACATTGCCATGAACAGCATCAGTGGAGAGAGAGAACAACTCAGTAAAATGAAGACTGACAATGACAAAGAGAGAGAAGTACTTTTGATTGAAAGCGACAGAATAGAAGTTGAAAGGTCTGAGGTGAAAATAAAAGAAGATCAAGTCATGAAGCAAATGAAATCAATGGAAACTATGAAAGTGAAGCTTCAGCGGCTGTACAATAGGATCAGTGAAGACATGAAAAACAAAGTGGACAGTTTGCAACAAAACTGTGAAGGTGCGCAAATTCTGTATGCTACATTGGAACAAAAGGTTGCAGCACTTGATGGAGAAAAAGAAAAATTGACTAATTTCACTGAGTTGTTAGAGAGAGAAAAGGAAGGTATTGCAGGTATACTGTCAGATGTGGTCACCCAAAGACAGGACATGGAGAATCAGTGTAAGCAAGGGTTTGAGTTGGAAAAACAAGATCTTGAAAAACTGAAAGCAGTGCTGAAGCAAGAGAGAGAGGATCTGGATAGAGTGCATGAGATCATGACCCAAGAGAGACTGGAGCTAGAAACCAGTAAGAACAGTGTCCTTACAGAAAGAGGAGAACTGGAAGTTTTGGGGAAGGATCTCAAAAAGAAGAAAGAAGAGGTTGACATTGCCATGAACAGCATCAGTGGAGAGAGAGAACAACTCAGTAAAATGAAGACTGACAATGACAAAGAGAGAGAAGTACTTTTGATTGAAAGCGACAGAATAGAAGTTGAAAGGTCTGAGGTGAAAATAAAAGAAGATCAAGTCATGAAGCAAATGAAATCAATGGAAACTATGAAAGTGAAGCTTCAGCGGCTGTACAATAGGATCAGTGAAGACATGAAAAACAAAATGGACAGTTTGCAACAAAACTGTGAAGGTGCGCAAATTCTGTATGCTACATTGGAACAAAAGGTTGCAGCACTTGATGGAGAAAAAGAAAAATTGACTAATTACACTGAGTTGTTAGAGAGAGAAAAGGAAGGTATTGCAGGTATACTGTCAGATGTGGTCACCCAAAGACAGGACATGGAGAATCAGTGTAAGCAAGGGTTTGAGTTGGAAAAACAAGATCTTGAAAAACTGAAAACAGTGCTGAAGCAAGAGAGAGAGGATCTGGATAGAGTGCATGAGATCATGACCCAAGAGAGACTGGAGCTAGAAACCAGTAAGAACAGTGTCCTTACAGAAAGAGGAGAACTGGAAGTTTTGGGGAAGGATCTCAAAAAGAAGAAAGAAGAGGTTGACATTGCCATGAACAGCATCAGTGGAGAGAGAGAACAACTCAGTAAAATGAAGACTGACAATGACAAAGAGAGAGAAATACTTTTGATTGAAAGGGACAGACTAGAAGTTGAAAGGTCTGAGGTGAAAATGAAAGAAGATCAATTTGTGAAGAAAATGAAATCAATGGAAACTATGAAAGTGAAGCTTCAGCGGCTGTACAATAGGATCAGTGAAGACATGAAAAACAAAATGGACAGTTTGCAACAAAACTGTGAAGGTGCGCAAGTTCTGTACGCTACATTGGAAAAAAAGGTTGCAGCACTTGATGGAGAAAAAGAAAAAATGGCTTATTACACTGAGTTGTTAGAGAGAGAAAAGGAAGGTATTGCAGGGATACTGTCAGATGTGGTCACCCAGAGACAGGGCATGGAAAATCAGTGTAAGCAAGGGTTTGAGTTGGAAAAACAAGATCTTGAAAAACTGAAAGCAGTGCTGAAGCAAGAGAGAGGGGATCTGGATAGAGTGCATGAGATCATGACCAAAGAAAGATTGGACTTAGAGCTGATGAGATCTGAAATTCAGGAACAAAGTAAATTATTAGAAAAGGAGAAAAAGGAGATAAAAGAGGGAAGACACAAGTTGGACAGCACAAAAGCTGAGCTAGAAAAGAAGAAAGAACATGCAGACAGTCTGTTTGATGAGATAGACACAGAGAAGGCCAACATTAAACATCTGACCCTTCAAGTTCAGACAAAAAGAAACCAACTTGAACATGTCATGAACATGATAACCTTAAAACAACAAGAACAAGAACTCAAGGAAGATGAGTTAACAAAACGAAAACAAGAACTGGTAATGAATAAGAACACTGTGCTAACAGAAAGAGGAGAGCTGGATGTTTTGAGGAAGGATCTGAACAAAAAGAAAGAAGAGGTTGAAGCTGCCATGAACAGCATGACTAGAGAGAGAGAACAACTCAGTAAAATGAAGACTGACAATGAGAAAGAGAAAGAAATGATTTTAATTGAAAAGGACAGAATAGAAGTCCAATGCTCTGAACTGAAGATGAGACAAGATCAACTCGTAAATGAAATGAAATCAATACAAACTCTGAGAAGGAAGCTTCAACAGCTTAACGAAAGGATCATTGAAGATAGGAAAAACAAAATGGATAATTTGCAACAAAGGTCTGAAGATGTGCAAATGCTGTACACTGTATTGGAAGAAAAGGTGGCAGACCTTGATGGTGAAAAAGAAAAAATGGCTTATTACACTGAGTTGTTAGAGAGAGAGAAGGAAGGTATTGCAGGTATACTGTCAGATGTGGTAACCCAGAGACGGGACATGGAAAATCAGTGTAAGCAAGGGTTTGAGTTGGAAGAACAAGATCTTGAAAAACTGAAAGCAGTGCTGAAACAAGAGAGAGAGGATCTGGATAAAGTGAATGAGATCATAACCAAAGAGAGACTAGAGCTAGAAAGCAGTAAGAACAATATGCTTACAGAAAGAGGAGAACTGGAAGTTTTGGGGAAGGATCTCCGAAAGAAGAAAGAAGAGTTCGAAATTGCCATGAACAGCATCAGTGGAGAGAGAGAACAACTCAGTAAAATGAAGACTGTCAATGACAAAGAGAGAGAAATACTTTTGATTGAAAGGGACAGAATAGAAGTTGAAAGGTCTGAGGTGAAAATAAAAGAAGATCAAGTTATGAAGGAAATGAAATCAATGGAAACTATGAAAGTGAAGCTTCAGCGGCTGAACAATAGGATCAGTGAAGACATGAAAAACAAAATGGACCGTTTGCAACAAAACTGTGAAGGTGCGCAAATTCTGTACGCTACATTGGAACAAAAGGTTGCAGCACTTGATGGAGAAAAAGAAAAAATGGCTTATTACACTGAGTTGTTAGAGAGAGAAATGGAAGGTATTGCAGGTATATTGTCAGATGTGGTCACCCAGAGACAGAAAATGGAAAATCCGTGTAAGCAAGGGTTTGAGTATGAAAAACAAGATCTTGAAAAACTGAAAGCAGTGCTGAAGCAAGAGAGAGAGGATCTGGATAAAGTGAATGAGATCATGACCAAAGAGAGACTGGAGCTAGAAACCAGTAAGAACAATATGCTTACAGAAAGAGGAGAACTGGAAGTTTTGGGGAAGGATCTCCAAAAGAGGAAAGAAGAGGTCGAAATTGCCATGAACAGCATCAGTGGAGAGAGAGATAAACTCAGTAAAATGAAGACTGTCAATGACAAAGAGAGAGAAATACTTTTGATTGAAAGGAACAGACTAGAAGTTGAAAGGTCTGAGGTGAAAATGAAAGAAGATCAATTTGTGAAGATAATGAAATCAGTGGAAACTATGAAAGTGAAGCTTCAGCGGCTGAACAATAGGATCAGTGAAGACATGAAAAACAAAATGGACAGTTTGCAACAAAACTGTGAAGGTGTGCAAATTCTGTACGCCACGTTAGAGCAAAAGGTTGCAGCACTCGATGGAGAAAAAGAAAAAATGGCTTATTACACTGAGTTGTTAGAGAGAGAAAAGGAAGGTATTGCAGGTATACTGTCAGATATGGTCACCCAAAGACAGGACATGGAATATCAGTGTAAGCAAGGGTTTGAGTTGGAAAAACAATATCTTGAAAAACTGAAAGCAGTGCTGAAGCAAGAGAGAGAGGATCTGGATAAAGTGAATGAGATCATGACCAAAGAGAGACTGGAGCTAGAAACCCGTAAGAACAGTGTCCTTACAGAAAGAGGAGAACTGGAAGTTTTGGAGAAGGATCTCCAAAAGAAGAATGAAGAGGTTGACATTGCCATGAACAATATCAGTGGAGAGAGAGAACAACTCAGTAAAATGAAGACTGACAATGACAAAGAGAGAGAAATACTTTTGATTGAAAGGGACAGACTAGAAGTTGAAAGGTCTGAGGTGAAAATGAAAGAAGATCAATTTGTGAAGATTATGAAATCAATGGAAAGTATGAAAGTGCAGCTTCAGCGGCTGTACAATAGGATCAGTGAAGACATGAAAAACAAAATGGACAGTTTGCAACAAAACTGTGAAGGTGCGCAAGTTCTGTACGCTACATTGGAAAAAAAGGTTGCAGCACTTGATGGAGAAAAAGAAAAAATGGCTTACTACACTGAGTTGTTAGAGAGAGAAAAGGAAGGTATTGCAGGTATACTGTCAGATGTGGTCACCCAGAGACAGGGCATGGAAAATCAGTGTAAGCAAGGGTTTGAGTTGGAAAAACAAGATCTTGAAAAACTGAAAGCAGTGCTGAAGCAAGAGAGAGAGGGATCTGGATAGAGTGCATGAGATCATGACCAAAGAAAGATTGGACTTAGAGCTGATGAGATCTGAAATTCAGGAACAAAGTAAATTATTAGAAAAGGAGAAAAAGGAGATAAAAGAGGGAAGACACAAGTTGGACAGCACAAAAGCTGAGCTAGAAAAGAAGAAAGAACATGCAGACAGTCTGTTTGATGAGATAGACACAGAGAAGGCCAACATTAAACATCTGACCCTTCAAGTTCAGACAAAAAGAAACCAACTTGAACATGTCATGAACATGATAACCTTAAAACAACAAGAACAAGAACTCAAGGAAGATGAGTTAACAAAACGAAAACAAGAACTGGTAATGAATAAGAATACTGTGCTAACAGAAAGAGGAGAGCTGGATGTTTTGAGGAAGGATCTGAACAAAAAGAAAGAAGAGGTTGAAGCTGCCATGAACAGCATCACTAGAGAGAGAGAACAACTCAGTAAAATGAAGGCTGACAATGAGAAAGAGAAAGAAATGATTTTAATTGAAAAGGACAGAATAGAAGTCCAATGCTCTGAACTGAAGATGAGACAAGATCAACTCGTAAATGAAATGAAATCAATACAAACTCTGAGAAGGAAGCTTCAACAGCTTAACGAAAGGATCATTGAAGACATGAAAAACAAAATGGACAATTTGCAACAAAGGTCTGAAGATGTGCAAATGCTGTACACTGTATTGGAAGAAAAGGTGGCAGACCTTGATGGTGAAAAAGAAAAAATGGCTTATTACACTGAGTTGTTAGAGAGAGAAAAGGAAGTTATTGCAGGTATACTGTCAGATGTGGTCACCCAAAGACAGGACATGGAGAATCAGTGTAAGCAAGGGTTTGAGTTGGAAAAACAAGATCTTGAAAAACTGAAAGCAGTGCTGAAGCAAGAGAGAGAGGATCTGGATAGAGTGCATGAGATTATGACCAAAGAGAGACTGGAGCTAGAAACCAGTAAGAACAGTGTCCTTACAGAAAGAGGAGAACTGGAAGTTTTGGGGAAGGATCTCAAAAAGAAGAAAGAAGAGGTTGACATTGCCATGAACAGCATCAGTGGAGAGAGAGAACAACTCAGTAAAATGAAGACTGACAATGACAAAGAGAGAGAAGTACTTTTGATTGAAAGGGACAGAATAGAAGTTGAAAGGTCTGAGGTGAAAATAAAAGAAGATCAAGTCATGAAGATAATGAAATCAATGGAAACTATGAAAGTGAAGCTTCAGCAGCTGAACAATAGGATCAGTGAAGACATGAAAAACAAAATGGACAGTTTGCAACAAAACTGTGAAGGTGCGCAAATTCTGTACGCTACATTAGAACAAATGTTTGCAGCACTTGATGGAGAAAAAGAAAAAATGGCTTTTTACACTGAGTTGTTAGAGAGAGAAAAGGAAGGTATTGCAGGTATACTGTCAGATGTGGTAACCCAGAGACGGGACATGGAAAATCAGTGGAAGCAAGGGTTTGAGTTGGAAAAACAAGATCTAGAAAAAGTGAAAGCAGTGCTGAAGCAAGAGAAAGGGGATCTGGATAGAGTGAATAACTTAAAGATGATGAGATCTGACATCCAGAAACAATGTGACTTATTAGAAAAGGAGAAAAAGGACATAAAAGAGGAAAAAGACCAATTTGAAATAATAGAGACTGAGCAACAATGTCAGAGAGAAGATATTGATTCCCATATCGATGAGATCAAGCATGACAAACAAGAACTGTATCAAATGAAGACAACTATTGAAAAGAAGAGGATGGAAGAAGACCTTTCCAAGCTCAAAATGGGAGAGAACCAACTCACTAGTTTAATGATCTCCATAGGAAGTCTTAGGGCTAAGTTCAAACAGCTGAATCAAAGGATAAATGAAGACTTCAGAAAGCATATGGACAGATTAGAGCAGAAACATGGAGACATAGTCCAGTTGAAGTCAATATTGGAACTCAAGTTTGATGAACTTGATAAACAGAAAAATAAGATTATTGGTTATTGTGACCTGATCCAAAGAGACAAGAAATATGTGGTGACAATGAAGGTTGACATGGCGGTACAAACTGAAGTTGTAGCCAAAGTACTGCAGGAGGAAGATCCTGAAAAGCAGGATTTGAATAAACTTAAAGACTTTGACTTTGGGAAGGATGGTCTTCAGGCAGGCTTTGCGATCCAGACTGAAGAATTAGAACATCAGTGGAGATTAGAGGAAGATAAACGTGCAACACTCTCTGAGTCGGCAGTAGAAGAAGAGGATTTTACAGATGAGGGAATGTCAAAAAGAGATTATTTGCGAAATATCTGGAAGGACACTAAAACAGAACGAAAGGAGATTGATCAGATGAAGCGCCGGGGTCATGAGATGAGAAACAACCTGGAGAAAAGACTAACAGTAATTAATCAGTTTATTCAGAGAACATTGTTCCAGAAAGAAAAGGAACCATTGGAGAAGAGGAGCCTAAAACAAGGCTCAAGTAATGACACAACATCTCAAAGCGACTGTAACAGCAAAGCACTAGATAAAAAATACATGGAACTCCAACAACTTAAGATTCAGATGCTTAGTGAGATTGAGAAACTCCATGTCAAAGAAAAAGTGTCTAGGACACTGACAACTAGCAACAAAGCCAATCAAACATCCCAGGTGCATATAACCACAGAAGATGCAATAGTGCAGGTAAGTGAAGAAGCTTCTACCAAAATGTATCAAGAACCTGAAGCAGCCCCAGAAACAACCAGCGGACTTCTCTGTCAGCTCCGGCATTACTGCTATCGTTGCTACTGCCCCTGCTGTGCTTGTTGCAAGCAAGTGTGCCCAGAGGAGAAATGACATGACATGTCTATTTCAGGTCTATTTCTTTAACCACATCCTTTAACCACATGGAATAGATGGATAACCTGAGCCTGAACGTTTTAAAACAGGTTATTTGTTTTAGTCAGATATATATCAATGTGTTGGGAAAAATTGAAAACTGCCAGCCTGCCGTTAGGTTTCCTACTTTATAAGGATTGTGTAAATGGAATTAAATTATTGCTGTGACATTTTTTTTAAAAGCATCATGAGTAATAACAAAAAGTAATATAATAACTTAGGGCAAAATGTGTGAGGCTTTTGTTTCAGAAAATGCTTCACCTATACTGGCTAATACACAATATTATATTTTTGCATAATAAGATTGAATATTGAATGACTGAATTTTAAAAGTTAGTGTTTAATTTTCTGTGTGCAATTCCTGATTTAAACCTCAGCCCTTGCATGTTACAAATTAAACATATTTTATTCATCTTAAGAATCCACTGTTCACTTAATTACAGATTTTAAGAACTGACGTGTCAATTTGATTTCATTTTTCTTGTTGTTGCTGGTTTGTTTTTCTCACTCTTTAGAAATGTTTCAAAAAGACAGCCCAATATACTTTTATGCTTAAATGTAAATTCACAAATACATTTGTTAATCATTTTTGTCTTTGAACAAACCTTTTATTGTCAAATAAAATTATCAGTATATTTATACTTGTATTGCAAGTGACTTTTTTTAACATTAATATAACTTATATCAGTCTACTGTGCTCTTTTCTGTATTCCACTCATACTGTTTCCTGAATTGTAAAATCATCAGTTTGTTTACAGTGAAGAAAAAACAGAGAAATTGAAGCATTCATTTAAATTAGATAAGATATGACAAGATGATATTTAATTTAACAAAACTGTTTACATTGCAGTTTTATGCCACACTGGCTTTACAATAGTATGTCTTTAGTATAATCTGGCGAACCCTGAGCATCTTTCCTAAATTATGTTTCGTAAAAAATATATTGTTTGGGCTCAGAAATGCTTCCAAACTTCGCAGAACAGCCTGAAAGTAAGCACATAAATGTTACACAGATCACTGTGTGTAACTGTGTAGCTGTGTGATAGAGACTGCGTACTGTGCACATGTTGATTGGAGAGCAACCAGGGCACACCTGCATTGGTGGCAGACAATAAATTCCTTGAATCCCTGAAATTAAATTCTCCAAACTGACCGTCAAGCAAGGAGCAAGGAAATGTCAAATAAGAGACTTGTGACGTATCCCAGGTCTTTGGTCTACTTTTGTGCAGGGCAGGCCTAACGAATCCTGGCCTTTCTCTAAAAGATGATACACTGGAAAGCATTGATTGCTGGGAATTAGCTTTTAGGTGAAGTTGACATATTGTGTTTACTTGCACAGGAATCTGAGAGTGAAATGAATCAGTGTGTGTTTGGTCACATTAACTGACAACTATGGCAAAAACACTGGTGAAGGACAGGATGAAGAGACAAAGGTGAAACCAATCAGGGCGGGGAGACAATCAAAACTTGAGGGAAAACGGAAAAAGACAGGAAGAGAAGTGAAACAACTAGGGGCCCTATCTTGCCGATCTGAAGCGCAAGTATCAAACGCAAAACGCAAGTAGCTTTGTGGGCGGATCTCGGGCGCTGTTGCTATTATGCTGGCGGGAAAAATGACTCTTGCGCCCAGCGCAAATCTAAAATGGGTTGGTCTGAAGTAGCTACATTAGTCATAGGTGTGGTTTGGACGTAACGTGCAAGAAACCAATCAGAGCGTCATCTCACATTCCCTTTAAAAGCAGGTGCGCTTGTTCCATGGCGGATTGCTATTATAACGGTGGATTGGCCAGACGCACGCCAGGAGCGGTTCACAGCCGAGGAGACCGACGTTCTCGTCAGGGCTGTAAAATACCGAGAAGTGTCATTATTGACATGAAATAAATGTAACACAGCCATACCATAAATCAAAACAATGTAACACAGCTTCCAGGAAGAAGACCCTGGCCTCGGGAGCAGTGCGCACGGGCCAGCTGAGGAGGGAGCAGCGCAAACACCAAGGTGCAGAGGATCCAGACCCACTACACGCTGGAGGACCACCCGTTCCTGCAGCAAACCGGGTTTGACATGCTGGAGCGGGAGCTGTCCGGGATGCGGCAAAGTATTAATGCCCGTCCTGACCGGGTGGTGATGTTGCTGCTGCCTCTCAGGCGCATCCCCTCAAGTCTGCGCCCTTGAAACAGCATCTGAATGTGTTTTGCTTTTTGATTATTTACTCTAAATTGGTTTATAATTTATGAGTTCTCTTTGCCATTACAAAGAGTTCTTCATTTGATATTAATAACAATTTTTGGTTTTCACCCCAACGAAAAATACAACAAAATCACTTGGAAGATGTCAACTCATTTACTACATATATGTGTTTTATGATATTTGCAAAATATATTTATATGTATTGATATTTACAGGACAAGAATCTTCAAATCAAATTTGTTCTTACAACACCATTTCTTGCAGGATTCAGCAGATTCTATACATAAATGTCTAAATGTGAATTAAATCAGTTGAATATTCAGATATAAGTGTAGTTTTTCCCATTTAACAAAATCTTATTTGTAAATAATCTATGCTACTTTCTCTCCATAAATCTAGACCTTAAAAAGCATACAAAGATGGAATAAATGGTTTGCAGTTGTCCTAAATGGGTGCTTATGTGTGCTCTACTTATTAAATGATTAATAAGCACTTCCAAAGCATCACAGCAGCATGATGATGAAGTAGACCTGTGGGCTGCAGCTCAGTACTAGCAGATGACCAGGTGTCAGAGCCCCTCAGCAGTGGAACTCGTTGCCTAAATATCTTTCAAATCCCAAGAAAATACCAAAACCAACAGTCCTATTCCCTACTCTCTGTGGCTCTCAGCTCTAAGTCCATTGCTTCTCTACTGAATACATTAATCTTTAAAAACAACAAAGAGCCCACAAATATAGTTTGATTTTTACAAAAGGCTCAGCAATATCCAAATACAGCTGGTCACTCTAGTTCTTAGGAAACGCTAGTTTAACAGGAGGACATATGCATTTGTTGGGGACTATTTTCAGCTGCTGATTTATCCACATTTGGTGCTCTGGTGAGTACAACTTCAGTGTGTGTGTTCAATGAATGACCATGTCACCCAGTGCATCGGTGTGACTCACTGATGCGTTTTAATTGTTTTTGGACAGCAATGGAGGAAAAAGATATAGCAGAGTATAGTATATGGAATACTTGTTAGTAGATACATTCAGTGTTTGGGATTACCTTTAAATCCCTCTTTAAAGTTTAGGTGTATAACATTGCCATCTAGTGGTAGAAGGTATTAACTGGGAAGGGAACTTTCAAATTGAGGTTTGTATGGAAGAGGAACAAATTTAAAGAATCATTTCATTAAAGCTGGAGTAGGTATTTTGTCATATTTGCTGACACGTTCACTATATCCTGACAGTAGTACATGAGACAGATAATGTGAGAAAAATATCAGGTCCCTTTGGCTCATTGTAGGGCTTCCCATGACATTTGCAAGAATTCACTGGTCTTAACAAAATCAACCAATCAGAGCCAAGAAAGAGCGTTGATTGTTGAGTTTTATTCCCAGAGTGCCATATACAGAGGCTTTGGGACCCTGGGAGACTAAACAATCAACTAGCTTTCAAGGCCTCAATCCAAAGTGTCTTTATATCTTTCTTGGCTCTTTCTACTACTGTCAGGATATAGTCCAAGTTTTAGCAAATATGAAGAATGGATATTTTCAAAACATGTATTCTTACACATTACCTTAATTATATATTAAAAAGGGGTCTACTGTACATATCAGGTTTTAATTTTTCAAGCATTGAACAGCCAATAGCAGGATGAAAGACAATATCACAATACACATGTTCATAAGTCAAAGCAGATTTATTGTTTAAGGTTGTGTTTGATAGCAGGTGAGGGGAGTCCATTATGGGATGCCATATACCTGATTATAAGTTATGTGTCCCACATCTTTAATCAACCTAGATAGAATTGATTCAATCTTTAATTCAATCTCTGTAAGCAAATGCATGTATACAAGCTAATACATCACAGACCTGTATGCACTCACTAACACACAGACCTCCATGCACACTCAAGACATTCAGACATGACTGAGGAAAGAAAAGAGCAAATAATAGACAATATTGCACTGCAGAGAGAGACCATAGAACAGTTTGAATATGATTATCATTAGAAATTTCATTCACTAATCCACTGAGTAAAAGTACAGTGTGCAACGTTCGCAGCCACAGTCCTGTCAGGCCAGTGATCATGAACAAGTACAGATGATCAGTTTCACACATGCCTGTTCCAGATGGTCAGTGGACACATCCACAGATCTATCAGTTGGTCAGGTGTGACAAAAACCATGTCTCAAAACACCACATACGGTCTACTATGACTGTAGTCATTCAACCAGAACACATCAGACCTGACTGATCACACGTTAGAGGCAAAAGCATGAATTCCCAGTCAGAAATAGCACACAGAGTTGTGAGTTAATCATATCCTTTTTCAATTTTATAAAGACAACTAATTTGTAAAATTTCCATTGCAATAAGTTGTTCACATATAGTGTAAGGCGGGACTTGCCACAAGTGTGCTGTAACTGCAACATTTTACAATTCCGTGGCACAAATTTGCAAAACTCCAAATGCTATATATGGCCTCAAAATCTCACACAGCACACAAAGAAAAAAGACAAAAGTTCGGTATAAAAATATGTCATACATCACACAGTTAGTTTATCTGAGCGTAATTCAAACTTATGTCACTGAATTTGAATCGTTGTTTATTTGAAAATAAATTATCAAATAATTCTGTCAGTAACTAATTCTCATCAAAACTCAGTCTGCGGTGGTCATGTCATCAAGATCATACAAATAGCAATGAGAAACAAAATGTGCAACTTGTGCAAAAGTCAGCATTTGTAACAATACTGAGTAAGAACAACTTAAGTTCTTCACTGCATTAGGTTACCGTTTCTGTTGTGCATCCACCAAGTTTTTAATCAATATATCAAACCTTAGATATTTATATCACCTGTAGGTTTATTGTAGTGCTGGAGAGCTTATAACATTAAACCAAATACTGTAACAGACACTCATTGCAACATTTTGACAGTAATCAAAGAGAGAGAAATTACATTTCTTTTCCCTTTTTTCCACCACTCTGGCAATAGTGGTGAAGTAATTAGCATGTGTTGTGTTGAAATGCTGTTCACCAGACTAGCAACGTTAAAATACGGAGAAATGCTTACAAACACATGTTTGAGTATTAGAACTTGTGCTGATATGAAGTGTCTGTGTTCTGAGGATGGAATATGTGATGTAGTGTTTTGCTTTAGTATGTATGGATAGCATTTTATGTTTTAAAGGTCCAGTGTGTGAAATTTAGGAAGATCTGTTGGTAGAACTTTAATATAATATTCATAGGTATGTTTTCCTTAGTGTATCACCTAAAAATCGTTGTGTTTTTGTTACCTTAGAATTAGCTGTTTTTGTCTACCTCTTATGGCCGAGTCTGCCATTTTGAACCACAAGAATTCCAGAACAGACAAACCAAAACACTGGCTCTAGATAGGGCCTTAAATGTTTCCCTGCAACTGTAGTTTCTCCTATGCACTTGGAAGGCTGAGCTTTATTCAAATGGTTGCAATCTACAGCTTCACTTACCACTAGATACCACTAAATCCTACACACTGGTCCTTTAAGGGACGAATTGAGATAGTAAGACTGGCTCTTTGGATTAAGAATATTAGACTCACAATAGAGACTGAGGACTTTCTTCCAGCTTTTGTTACTAAAACTGGGTGGGAACAATTAGAGAGTTACATGGCGGTGTACAATATAATGTTGGTCAGGACATCCATTTTCAATATTTTTAAAAGCTCTCTCCATGTCACAAAGTGATTCAGTATATCTCCAATTTGTTTCACTATGGAGGAGGATCGGGGGAGAGCACTGTTTCAGGTAAAGTGTGTCCTTGATGTACAGGGCGAACGTGTGTTAGCGATCAATCACGCAACTACTTTGCATTTAGAAATCCCTAGGCGATTGGTAGACACTGAGATTTTAGATTGTCTGGTATTGCAAGACTATAAGAGTATTGTGGGCACCTGGTTAGCTCAGTCAGTAGAGCTGGCAACCCATATACTGAGCCTGAGTCCTTACTGCAGTGGCCCAGCGTTCGAATCCAACCTGCGGGCCTTTGCTGCGTGTCATCCCCACTCTCTCTACCCACCTTTCCTGTCTATCTTCAGCTGTCCCTATCAAATAAAAAAAGGGCAAAAAAATATCTTAGAATAAAATATAGGAGTATTGCACACTGAAAACTTATTTGGAGAGCTCATTGGAAACTGGGCCAAAGCAACTGCAAGTTCTGTTATTACTACTGAAAGCTTGTCGGCCCTTATGTGAAGTGATCTTTGCTTCTGTCAAACTCTAAGAAGCAACACAACAAAGGAAAAGCTGTAATCAGTCTATAAATGCTGGCAATCTTTACAACAGACCCGAGTGGTGATGACAACAGTACCTGACTCATGTTTTCTGTTTATCTGTAAACGTGTTTCAGTTGTGTGTCTGCTTCTTGTCACATATTGGACATCCATCACTGTGAATGACAGGCCTGATGAAAAATGGACCACTGAAATGAGCAAATCTGTGACTTAAAAAGTAGGAAAATATATCATGTCCAACTTTAAATCATATCTGTAAATCAACCCCCCCCCAAAAAAAAAAGATCTGTGCCCTTTAAACTAGTCACATTCAGTTTTGCTCAATTCAAACAAAACCCATGCTCTCCTGTATTGCTAGGTTCATGTGTTACCCTGTCAGTCCAAGTCCTCTTTGCCAAGTAGCTAGAGAAGATAGTTATTGTGCATTGAGCTCTCTGGCAACATAGTGAGATCACTTAAGTTCCTGTCCATGACTGCTTGCTTGTCGGTGACAGACCTGGAAAAGGAAACAGAGACGAAGGGTGACATGGGGCCGTCCAGAGGACCGTCAGCATGCTCTCTTTCTTCTGTATCTGGCGATGGGGCAAACAGCGGAGAGGGTGGTGATGTACCATCATCTGTGTTGTGTAAAGACACCACCTGCAGCGGGTTGCTGTGTGTCTTAGTGGTTCTTATGTTGTTATCTTTCCCTTTGTCTTCTTCACTTCCCGTCTTACTCTGTTGGTGGCTGCCACTTAGCACTTTCAGTTGATTTAAGTCTAAGCTGGGATAGGAGCCTGACTCGGTCATGGTCTGGAGGAGTTTGTTGATGTTCTCTGAGCCTTCATTGTATCCAATCTGGCTGGCTTGGGCTACCTGGCACAGGAGATGGGTGTGCTGACGGAGCTGGGCAATTTCTCTCTCAGTGGCAGCATTCTGCTTCAACAGGTCCTTGGTGCGTAGCGTGATGGCCAGCAGACCTGACTGGTTGAGGATCTCGGCTGTGTTGAAGAAACGGCGGTGGCGTGTTGACGAGCTGTCTGGAGCCAGGCAATATGGGCTGTGAGCCATGGAGGAAGAGGGAGATGAAGAAGGAGGAGAGGAGAATGAGGGGGAGTCAGAAGAAGAAGGTGGTGAGGGTGTCTGGGTACTGGAGACGGAGGGTGAGCCGACACTGTCAGAACCCGAGTTTTGTTGGCAGTGGTGGGACTTGTGTTGGATGGTGGAGGAAGAGCTGTGACCTCTAACTTTATACTGCAAGTGGGAATGGACTCTCCCCTCCTTCTGATGCTGCTGCTCGGGCTTCAGTAGGTGGCTGGTGGTAGACACGTCCTCTCTTTTCTCCTCTTCAATGCACACTCTCTTGCTCTGGCTCTGGCCTTCACTGCCACTCTCCTTAACCCCCTCCACCCATGTGGTACTCTTGCCCTCATGGCTCTCCTTCCTGGGGTGGGGGGCGATGCGAGGGTAAGAATTTAGGATGGGCAGGTATAAGTTCTTGCTGCTGTGGTTCTTGCTGCTGTGGCTCTGGTTGCTGCGGCTGCCTCCTTTCTTAACTTGACCCTGTGGTGCTGCTAGACTGGATAAAGGAGTCAGGGTAGAGGAGGAAGGGGCAGGCATTGTTGGCTGTTGGATCAGCAAGAGCTGAGTGGGCGCTTTGGGATTGGTAAGGCTGTGCCAACCTCCACCCCATGCCATGGAGCCATGCAGAAGCTGCTCCGGTCTAGACTGTACCACCAGGAGGTTGTGAGTGGGGTTTTTATGTGAGCAGCAATGAGAGCAGCCCAAACCAGAGTAAAGGAGAAAGCCACAGATGGGGAGGAGGTTAAAGTCACAAAGAGATAAGCAGCAACAATACAATGCAGAACAAATTACTTTGATTTAATAAATTAAAATGTAGTAATTCTGATATGCGTTGCAAATGTACTGGGTACACACTGTCACAACTGACCCTAATCTTTTTAAATATAAAATATAGAAGATTGACATAGTGACAAACCCACAGAAGAATTATCACAAACTCTGTGGTTTACTTTAGCTCTAAATAGTTTTTTAGTGTATTTCAATTAATTTCAGTGCAATTAAATTTTAATTGTACAGCGCCAATTCATAACAAAAGTTATCTCAGAACACTTTTCAAATAGAGCAGGTCTAGACTGAACTCGGCTTGGCGACAGCAGCAAGGAAAAACTTCCTTCTAAGAGGCAGAAACTTTGGACAGACTCCGGCTCTAGGTGGGACTCTATTTCTACTCATTTTTTGGTTTTACAGCCAATACATTTACTGTTTTGGTTAACCAACTGATGAAGCAAGTTGGAAATTTAGCAGTTAAAGAGCCAGATACTTCTCAAGAGTTGGGAGTCAATACTTGAATGACAAGTCAAATGAATGCTAATGCTACTCTGTGTCTGCTGGATGTGTAATTGTAATGTACAGCTGTTTTATACAACACATTTGCCATATCAACTTTACAAGGAGATAATAAGTCAGTGTTGTACATCTTGTTTCTGCTGCTCCCAAGTGGCCACAAAAATAATAATCAATTGATTGTGAGAAAGTCATTTTTCTAGAAGAAATACCAAACATTATTTAATTCCTGCTTTTTCAAATGTGAGAATTAGCACTTTTTTTGTTTTGTTTAATAACATAGTAAACATTGGGTTTTGGACTGTCTAGACAAAACAAGACATTTGAAGACATCAACTTGGACTGAACATTTTCTCTCTTTTTTAAACTGATATTTAAGACCAAATAATAATAATAACAATAAATAATGAATTAGGTTTAATTTAAATGATTAATTAGAAAATAATCATCATATGAATTAACACTAAATAATTGTAAGTTGCAGTCCTACAACCTTATTCCAGGACTATGGTATCGAACTGGAAGATAAGTTGTCTACCACCCAAGTAATTGATTGTAAGCTGTATGTTATTAACTGCATATTTTGTGTTGTCATTTGATCAGTTATCATACATAGTTAATATAGTGGCTTTCAAAAAAAATTTGCAGTGTCAATCAGTTAGTTCATTAGAAAATTCATTACTATTCATCTGTCAACAATAAAGGAAACTATTAAGATACACTTTAATAATGAAGTACTGTTGACTGAATGTACTTCAAAACAGAGTTCCCCATTCCTTAATAATTGTACTTGAATCTTTGTTCATGATGCAACAAAGTAGAACAGCTGAAAAAGCAACTTATGTGTTACTGAGTATCTCACCGGCTTGACCACCAGGTTTTTGATGATATAAATGGGGGTGAGCTCCTCATAGGGAGGCATGTTGTGGCCTGCAGCGTTTGCACTGTTGTTGTTGCTGGGGATTTTGCTGCTTTCCCTTTGAGGTTCGCTCACACTGCTGCGCTGGTCGTCTAGATCGATGTGCACAGAGTCAGAGCCAGCCTCTGAGGGAGAACCAAGAGTAAGAGGAGGTAGAGAGGACATAGGAGTGAGTGATGGGAAAGATGTTCACATGAATTCCTCACCATTTCCCACAGCACCAGATGGAGAAGGATGGAGAAATATCCAAATGTAAATGTCGTTTGATGTACACAGATATCCAGCAACAAGTGTTAGTTTTCACTTAAAGCCCCTGCAACAGGGGTCTCTGCTGGCTAGGAGCCATTTCTGGCCCTCCATCCCCCACCCCCTGGGCTGTGACATGTCAAAAATAAAATATAAGCAAGAGGGGTATTATTTTCTTGTTGTTTCATATCAATTTAAACTACTCCTTCATATACAATCAAAATAAAAATACAATTCTATTTGGAAAAAAAATATATTTTATTTGTTGCAAAATAATTGTCAAAGGTGCCAGCAAATGCAAGGGTTGAAAAGAAGAAAGCAGAAAATGTACAGAAACCGCATTATTTTATGATGAGTATGATTATCATTATGTTCATTATATATATATATATATATCATTGTATATATATCAGAATATAAGAATATTTGCTTTCCTGTAATACTTGAACATTGCAGTGGCCCTCCTATAGAGCTGAAAATACCAGCAGTGGCCTCAACAGTCTGTTTGAGACCCTTGACCTACAAGGCACTTTCATTTTGTGCTGATTCTGGCACCCCCTGTGGACAAAAGCAGTAGTGTTTCTACCACCTTGTTTCATTGATTTCAAGGGGAATCTGACCAAATGCAACCTAGTGGCAGGCATTAAAAACTATATAGAAATATCCAATCTTCTCTCTGATGGTCTTGTTTGTGTGGTCATATAGAGGCATCAGTATAGAAGATAGCAATTGTATATCTCATTAAGACATAATGTCCATAAGTTTTCTCTTCCATAAGAACACAATTAAATGCGTAATTTGTTTGTATAAAAGATTTATAAAGATTTACAGACAAAAGTCTGCGTCGATGCATCCAAATGGACTTTGCTCACCTGAGTACCCAGAGTCTTTTTCTGAGTCACAGTGCAGCATGCAGTTGCTCATGTCACCCATTCCAGATTGCTCCCTGTAGGAGCCACCCTGGGACGCCCGCAGGGTGGCACTGTTACTCTTATCCTTAGCAGTCTTTGAGGTGCCACGGGCGGCCCGCTCCCCAAAGTGCCCCTGTTCCTTTGGCATTCCAGAGCTCTAAAAATGAAAGAAAACAAGCAAACTTTTACTGTGAGATACACAGCACTGGATATTAAAGACATGTCATTTTTTTGTCTTATGCTGCTGAGGGTCAGGTTTGCCAGATTGTGGTTTAGCATTTGTGCACAAGCCCAAAATATCAACAATATTTCACTACAGAATCATTAACTGAGAGACACCTAATGACATGGGCACCAAATCTAATTTGTGTTTGATCTACATTGAGTGGACCTGTGTCTGCAATTACATAATCCCCCCAGAGCCAGTGGTTTGGCTTTCACCTGAAAAGCAGGGGGAGGTAGGGGGTAGGGGTAGTAGGTTGTCCATTGTATTGAGCCACCTTTCAGCTTTCTGCTGAATACTGGAAATTGGGCTTCAAGCACATCCGATGAGCCTGAGTAAACCAGCTTTTTGTAAGATTGTCCCTATCATTTGACTAAAGGATGGCAACTTTATTCAATTCAATTCAATTCAATTTTATTTGTATAGCGCCAATTCATAACAAAAGTTATCTCAGGACACTTTTCAAATAGAGCAGGTCTAGACCGAACTCTTTATAACATTATTTACAGAGACCCAACAGTACCACCATGAGCAAGACCTTGGCGACGGGGGCAAGGAAAAACTGCCTGTTAAAAGGCAGAAACCTAGGACAGATCCTTCGGCTCTAGGTGGGTGGTCGTCTGCCTCGACCAGTTGGGGTGAGAGAGTGAGAGAGAGAGAGAGAGAGAGAGAGCACAGCAACAACAGTAGCGACAACTACACTAATAGTAGTGACTGATGATGATGAACATGAAGAAGATGATGACGACGACGACAACAACATGAAGATATAGAGAATTTATCTGTGTGACTCCTGCTGATAGCTCTGTCTGTCTGTCTATGTTTGTATAAATATTAAGATAAAGATTTTTGTAATTTAACACTGAATGGTCTTGAAAATATGGAGTGAAAAAATATATAAAAAATGTTTCATCATGTTTCCTCTTACATTAAGAGTTTATATTTCTATACATATATAGTATATGTCATATAATGTATCATGTTGTCATTTGATTATTTATTTCAGTCTTATTTATGCATGTTATATGTTACGGCTGTTGCTGTCATTAGCTTAGCTATGGCTCAAGGTTTTCTAGGTAAAATCAATTAAGCCCCATTGCTGTATCTTCAGAAGCTGCAGTTTAAACAGCACCTGTGGTTGAGTCTCAACCTGGTTTCTGCGTCCTTTAAAAAGTCCTGGTTTAAGGTCATACAGTTCAGTTTAAAGAGACATTTCAGATTATTTCTAACTACTTACTCCTAAAATTTCAAATCTTTTACAATGTGTGTTCTTTGAATGTCAACAATCAAGTGTCAAACTTACATAATGACAGATCATGAATACAGCAGTAGGTTGAAAGGAAACGTAAATGTGCTATAATATAAATGTATATTTGACTCTGGTTGACTTTGGTTTATGTGGTGATGGCTTCTCATTTGATATGATTCATTGGAGTTAATCGATTATTGTCAAGGGTGAGATGGATATTGACTAATTGTCTAACAAACACCTCAGACTCACTGTCTAAGATATAGTTTCTCTAGATGGCATTACCTTGGCCTCCAGCACCACTGTCAGGAATCTTGGAGTTATCTTTGATCAGGATTTGTCTTTTAACTCCAACATAAAGCAAACCTCTAGGACTGCCTTTTTTCACTTACATAACTTTACAAAAATTAGACACATTCTTTTGCAGACAGATGCAGAAAAACTAATCAATGCATTTGTTACTTCTAGGCTGGATTACTGCAATTCCTTATTAACAGGTTGCCCCAATAAATCCATTAAGACGCTCCAATTAATCCAGAATGCTACAGCATGAGTACTGACAGGAACTAGATTATATATCTCCTGTATTAACTTCTCTGCACTGGCTCCCTGTAAAATTCAGAATAGAATTTAAAATCCTCCTCCTCACCTACAAAGCTCTTCATGGTCAGGCCCCTTCATATCTTAAACATGTGACAGGAGGAACCACCAACCTTCCAATTAGGGGACAACCCGCTCTGCCTCTGAGCCACAGCTCATTGTACCCTATTACCCCTCTAGAACACTGCGCTCTCTGAATGCAGTGCTACGTGTGGTTCCTATAGTCTCTAAAAGTAGAACAGGAGCCAGAGCCTTCAGTTACCAAGCTCCTCTCCTGTGGAACCAGCTTCCAGTTGTGGTTCAGGAGGCAGACCCCCTCACCACATTCAAGAGTAGGCTTAAGACATTCCTCTTTGATAAAGCTTATGGCCTGCTGCCATGGTCCTGCTTGACTCCCATTGTTAATATTACTTATATTATTATTATATAATATTATTGTTATTATTATTGTGATTAATAATATTATTATTATTACTATTATAGTTACTATTAATGACTACCTCACTGACAGACCACAGTATGTCAGACGAGCAGCACTGGCACACCCCAAGGAACCTTTCACCTTTCCTGTTCACCCTCTACACCTGTGACTTCTGCTTCAACTCTGGAGCGTGCCACCTACAGAAGTTCTCTGATGACTCCTCCATTGTCGGCTGTATGTCGGATGATAGGGAGGAGGAGTACAGAGACCTGATTGAGAACTTCATTGGATGGTGCGACAGGAACCACCTACAGCTCAACACAGGAAAAACCAAAGAGCTGGTGGTGGACTTCCGGCGGAGCAAGAGGACCCCCTCCCCTGTTGAGATTAGGGGGGAGAAGGTAGAGATGGTGGACACCTACAAGTTCCTGGGGGTGACACTCAACAATAAACTGAACTGGACGGATCACACTGAGGCCCTCTACAGGAAAGGACAGAGCAGGCTGTTCTTTCTGAGGAGGCTCAAGTCATTCAACATGTGCACTCGGCTACTACAGATGTTCTACCAGTCTGTAGTGGGCAGTGTCCTAGCAAGCTGGTGAGGAAGGCCAGCTCGGTGGTTGGGATGGAGCTGGACAGTGTGGAGGCTGTGACTGAAAAGAGGATGAGAGGGAAGCTGAAAGCCATCATGGACAACCCCTCTCATCCTCTCTACACTGAGCTCAGACAGCTCAGGAGCACTTTCAGCTACAGACTGACCCAGCCCCGAGCCTCAAAGCGGTTTGGAGGCTCGTTTGTACCATCAGCCATCAGACTCCACAACACCACAGCACCCAGTACCTCCAACCCCCCGCAGACAAAGACTGCTTTAAAACTCCTACCTACAACGCACAAGCCTTTTGCACTCTTTATATTTAATTTCCACTTTGGTAGTTTAGTAGTTTTAATTTTTTAGTTTTAGTCAAGTTAAATTTTCTGCTCATATTTTGCACTCCATGTCCTACTAAAACAATGCATAGTGTATATACTTTAATTTATAGTTTTATATCTTCTAATATTAATTCTAACGTGTACTACTCTTAAACAAGTGTATGCGGCGTGCCTGTTGTTTTGTTTCCGGTCTAGCTAGATCCGGTGTGGTGCTGTAGTTTTTCTAACGTTACTAGTTGTTGCAACAGCATGTGAAAAAAGTGTGCTAGGCCAAAAAGAGTGTTAATCTTGTGATAAAAAAATGTACGCTGTTAAAATGGGTTTGCTTTAACGCTGTTAACGCGTTTAAATGACAGCACTAATATTTTTATTTGTGATATTCTTTGTTCTCTGTTTTTGCACTACTTTGCCCTATTACTGCTGTGTCAACCTGAATTTCTCCTAGGGGGATAAATAAAGGAATATCTTATCTTATCTTATTATTATTGTCCATCGTCCCCCATCGTTGTGGCTGTCGTCATCATCATCATCATCATCAGTCATTTCTATTAGTATAGTTGTTGCTACTGTTGTTCTGCACCTTTGTCTCTGTCTCTGTCCTTCTCTATTTACCGCCCTCTCTCTCTCTAACCCCAACTGGTCGAGGCAGACGGCCCAACACCTAGAGCCGGGGTCTGTCTGAGGTTTCTGCCTCTTAAAAGGAAGTTGTACAAGGAAGTATACAAATAAAATTGAATTGAATTGAATCAATGTGGAAATAGTCTGCTTGCCAGCAACGTGAACCTGCATATGTTAAGTACCTCAAGTTTTAAATGTACAGTATGGGTCGCCAGTATTTAGAAACTTCCAGATGCTAACTTGCATATGTTGGGCAATTTGTAATGAGCATAATTAGCATTCATAAATCTCCAATATTGTGGTTTTGGCAGTTATTGAGGATACTGAATCAGTTTCAGATTTTTAAAATACAACATGCCTGTTTAAAACGGGAATGGCCATTATTGCTGCCATTAGGTGGCTGTGGCTCAGAGGCAGAGCGGGTCGTTTACTAATCGGAAGGTTGTTGGTTTGATCCCTGGCTCCTCCCGCCATGTGTCAAAGTATCCTTGAGCAAGATAATGAACCCCAAATTGCTCCTGATGTATGAATGTGTATGAATGCGTTTCTGTTTGATGGGCTTTGCTATCACTGTGTGAAAGGGCAAATGTGGCATGTAGTGTAAAAGCACTTTGAGTGGTCAGAAGACTAAAAAGGGGCTATACAGGTCCAGATCCATTTACCATTATTTATATGCTTAATACATTGGACCTGCATTTCATCAAGAAAGCTCAGTGTCATTGGTGTGAATGCTCAAACATACTATTTCTTCCAATTTCTTCAGTTCTTCTGGCGTTTTTTTTACTCTGCAGTTTTTTAGCATTGACCTTTGCCTTTATGGATGTGGTTGTGTATTATTCAATTCAATTCAATTTTATTTGCATAGCGCCAATTCATAACAGAAGTTATCTCAGGACACTTCAAATAGAGCAGGTCTAGACCGAACTCCTTATAACATTATTTACAGAGACCCGACAATTCCCACCATGAGAGAGAGAGAGAGAGAGAGAGAGAGAGAGAGAGAGAGAGAGAGAGAGAGAGAGAGAAACAAAGGTGCACAGCAACAACAGTAGCAACAACTACACTAATAGTAGTGACTGATGATGATGAACATGAAGAAGATGATGA